AAAAAAAAAAAAAAAAAAGGAATGTGTCATAAAGGCCTTCTAACTGTTAAATATTTTAAATTTGTTACTTAAATGAAAATTATGAAAACAATGAAATTGTATTGGCCTAATTAATTTGACATCAAATATAATTGCTTATAGGATGCTGGACCTATCAAACATGATTGTGAGCATAATGAGATCGTTGCTGCTTCAAATACCGTAAGCGATCTTCTAACACATCGAAAAAATTCAGGCAGCTTTTTGAAGAGCTACTATCTCTTAACATATGCATGCTCACAGGTGAATAATTATTCAGGTTATTCTGATTACATTATTTATGATTAAAAGATGAAATATGAAATAGTTCTACAAGAGATAGATGATCAAAACTTTTGATGGATAGAGTTTAAATCATTTTGTATTGATTTTTTATTTTTGTTTTTGTTTATATTTCTGTTGATTTCTGCATACTTTTTATATTTGAAATGATTTAGATCATTATAGGAAGGGCAAGAGATTTTAAGAGGACATCGAGCATGCCTAACCGAAGAACGAATCGGTGAAATGACACTCAGTGCTGGTACATACCTTTCGGAGAAATTTTTGGTTCATCCTGATGATGAGGTCAGGTGACGTTTTTTATGATATTGGAGTTTTGAAATAATCGCTAGCAAAAGTGATGACCTCTCTCAAGTTCACATATAATTATTTCAAGGAATGAAATATTGTAAGGTTCGCAAGTTTACTATGCAATAATTTTTTAGGTTTGCGAAGAAGTAAATTCAAAATTACAAGAGTATATGAGTGCAATGAAAGGAATATGCCAGTCAAAAAGTGCACAAATGATTATGTGCAAAAGTTTGAAAAATATGTTCAAAGTTAGTGCACTTCAAAATTATCATTAATTATTTTTAATTTTTCAAATAATTACTTCTAATTAATGCATATTATTTTGTACAAATTTTGTAATACATAAAGGCATATTAATATTTGAAAAAAATTTTGTATTTAATATAAAATGCAAAAAATTTCTAGGGTTTGCATGCAGACAAATTGCATGCGTGTGATTTTGACTGTAATATTCCGCAAGATGAAGAAGTAACTGAGTCAGGTTATCTTTCAAATATGAACAACCATGACGATGCCGGCATAGTTAACAGAGGAAATGCTGAAAATAATATAATTGCTGAAGTGGTCAAAGAAGGAACCAGTGTAGATGGTTCTGCACCGGAAAGTCATTCATTAAATTCTTCAGCTTTTCTAACGTCATGTTTCCTCAGTCAGTTTATTCTACTATTTTTTACAATAATAATTTTGCGATAATGTCACTCTTTTTTTTTTTGGTTGCATAAATGAAATGAGCGATGCTTCTGTAGTAGCAAACTTTAAAATGTTTTTTCTGGTCATCCTGATTTGATCCTCAATTAATTTACATTTATAAAAAAAGTTCATTCTTTGAAAAAAAAAAGAAGCAAATATTTGTTAACTTACTTCCCATTCAATTATAAATTTTTTCACTCATCTCTTCTTTATTTTCATACCAAATATTAATACTTATTATCTCAGGATTACTGCCAGATTTGAAATAATTATGAAGTTTCGATACAGTATTCTCTTACCATTGCTTTAAAATTGCTAATCTTTCATTGTGCGTAATCTTTCAGTCACTTATGTTATACAGAAATAAGAGAATACGAACGAAACGGGTTTTTAAATTATATAATTTATACTTACAAAACTCCGTAAATACTAAAACTTATCTTTCAGTAATTAAAAAAATGTATGCCATGTAAAGACTATGTTCTTTAGCTACTTCTTATGCTAAAGCTGAATTATTTTCTTGATAAAACAAATTATCTACCTTTATTCCTGTCACACACAGTTCATAACAGAATTTGCACTTCTAAGCACATTCTGTGCCATTCCTAAGTTTGTAATTCAGAATATGTCTAAGCCTCGTTCAATTATTTGCCATCATAAATATCCATATAATGCACAATACGTTCGGCTGTTGAACAGAAGTTTCTTCGTAATTATCCTTGTCGAAAATTCGCGTGATCTATCGCATGAATATTCTTGATTTTATTGGTCAGATATCTCACTGACGCAATCAATACATTTAACTCTAACAGTATTTAAAGTTCTAACGGTTTCGAAAATAGTGCAAATTAAAAAAAATAATCTAGGATCCGTTTTCAATTAGAACATTTCCAAACAAAATATATTATTGCATCATCTGCTACTTTGTTTACCGATATTATTTATGTAAAAGCAATAGCTAGAAAGCAACAATTAGACTCAATTACTCAGATTATGGCACAGACATGTCTTCTCCAAGCAGACATCAGATTTCGCAAGTTCCTTATTTGAAGGATATCTTCTGATAGTATATTAATTACAACTAAAAAATCACTTTAACTTCATTCCTTCACATCATTCTTGTTGGAATATCAGAGAGTGTCACAACAATCTCTCCAGATTATGAGCAGGAAACAGTAACCTCTGTCATACAGCGCTGTCTAAATATTTCTTACACCTTTTTACAAGAATCCACTCGACGGCTTTGTTGCGAATAATTCACTACAGATTGTAACATGACAAGATGTCATAAATGATATTTCGATGAATTAATCCTAATATTTCAAGTTATAATTACTTAGAAACTGAATTTAAATCTGTAAATGAAGCAAACATTACATTACCCGCTGTTTTTTTGCGGCCATTCTATCAACAGACTAGGCTGCTGAAACGAGTACAACTAACAGATCTCATTACCAAAGTACAAACATCAATTACTAACTCAAAGGTTGCATACCAAACCTGTGTTTCTCCACCATACTATTCTACATTACCACTTTTAGCACCATAAGTGAAAGTGCGAACCCGGAGCATTAAGAACATGCATCAACAATTTACAGATATAAACCCCATACCAAACACCACTTATGTATGTTAAAACTGGAACGAATCTTAATATTTACTCTTTTTCAAGGTTTCAGTTGTAAACTACATATAGTATATAGCAGCTAACACAACTACAAAGGACATAATTTCCAAAGACTTGAGTATATACATAAAATTGCTTAATCATTTTAACTAGCCATTTTACTGGCGTTGTGATATAAGGATATCATATACCAAACACATGTTTGATATTTTAATGAACTTAGTGTTTTATACATTACACTATACATTGTTTTCTTTCCTGACCATTCCATTTTCCGGGGTCTCAGAGAAGATATCCCTATATCCAACACTTGGTGTAACAAAAGAGACTAAGAACATAAATATTTCCCTCACAGTCAAAGTCAGTTACAAGAAAATGGTAGACAAGAGACGAGTCATCAGTAGCAATCAGACAAAAGAAATAAAAGCTTGCAACCTTTAAAGTTAACACTGCCTGACCACCATTAAATTTCACTGCACTGAAGAGAATTTACACTAATGAGTGATACTCATTCTGGTACACGAATTCAAGATCTTTGTGGACAAACTTGTTGGTAACCAAAACATGAAAATTTGATTTCATCATGATGACCATACATAATTCCCAACGTGAAATGTCACAAAATTTAATGACAGACATTAAGGTGGAATATGCTGAATAAAAATGAGCTATCGTAAATTACACATGTTAATAAGAGGTTAAAATCTACAGAATGTATTAAAAGATTTAGAATTGAAAACAAAAAAATGGATCCGAAAAATGAAACCAAGGTATTATGGGAGCCTGAAAACTCAAAATTTTTACTAAATTCGTGACAAAAAAGCAGCCATAATACATCACAAATAACTGATTATTGAACTATATTGACAGTACTAATGCATTACATATGAGAGAAGTATACACCACATCAGTTCTGATAAATAATTTGACAGAAAAAACTAGAGATGAAAATGACACTTTGATGTTTCACAACACGTAATTTAGGGTTAAACATGCTGATTTCAAACATCATAGCCAAGAACTACCAAGCATGAATAAGCAAATCACCTTCTAACACTGAAGAGAAACATAAGAAGTCTTCGTAACGAAATTTAAATTATGAATTGAACTGTTGAAAACCAACGACGAAAATCAAAGTAGCATCAAAAAGTGATTTTTTAATTACGTAAAACCAAGCTGTTTATTCTTTTACTGAATGGAACAGTTCTGTTTCTGTTCCGGTGGATAATATGCTTGCTGGTTCATTCCCGGAGCACCACCAAAAGGTTGCTGGGATGGACCACCTTGCTGCGGATAGTGCTGAATATTTCCAGATGGGAAAGACGGCTGAACCGAGTAATTTTGTAATGGCTGTCCTTGAGGATATGCTGTTGGTCCTGTTGGAACAAATGGCTGATTCTGTGGATATGGAACGTTACTTTGAGTATACTGAAGATTGTTCTGAGGATAAGGCATATTGCTTGTGTCACCACCCACTTGTGCGAAGCCTAGACTTGGATATGCTTGGCTAGTAGTGACCATAGGGTGTGACCCATGAGAGGGAAATGGAAGCGACGTTGACTTTTCCAATGCTTCATTGTAAGGAGGTGGTTTCATACTTTCAAAGCCACTCACTCTCAAAATACGTAAATGTGTTGCGGATGATATACCTGGTATTGGCTCATCAAAATCACCCCATAGATAGACATTGCCTACAAAAAAATTCTAGAAACTCAAGAACATTAATTTACTTATTACAGAATAAAAGTAATAAAACAATGAAAAGATTTACTGAAATAAAAACTGGAATGTGCCAAACTTGCCTGAATTGGTAGTAGTAAGTCGAGGTTCAATCAGAGGTATTGGCATTTGTGCTGGGATCTGATGCCATGTAAAATTTGAAAAGTTAAGAACCCAGTAATCGATAAGACGAGACACTGAGTAATTATATTCAACTTCACCACCGGCAAGTAACAAGTGACCTACAGATATCAGCATTTTTAAGGATACTTTTACTAACGCAAATATCATGAGCATAAACCAAAACATTGTCTAAATGACGACGAAAAAACAGTGAACCTTTTTTACCTGCAAAAGAATCGATAGCGGCTCGTTTACGAGCACAAGGTGCGCCACGTACAGGATCAGGATTGCACATCACAGTACGTAACTGACGTTGCCCCATGATATCCAGAATATGGATTCGAGAATGATCAAAATGTCCATCAGGTGACTGCGATAAGAAGTACACGCTTCTGAAAAGGTAAGAAAAACCTGATCAAACTTACAGTTGACGTGTACATTTCAGTTATAAGTTGAATTAAAATAATGAAATCAAAGTCCCGGCAGTACCGGATAATTAATATACAAATCTTACGAGATTTTGAAACAAAAATTGTAGAAGAAAATACACGAACCCTTGGTTCAAAAAAGCATCATAATAATGGCTGAGGTCAGCTGATGGAACTGAAAAGGATTCAACTGGTCCACTAGGCTGATCACTTATACAATTAATACGCCAAATAGTAAGACCAGGATTAGTCATAAGAACAACTTCCGGTGCATCTTCACGCATAGAAACGATAAACGCATCATTTAATGGAATTGAATTTGTTAGAAGTGGCTTTGGCTCGCTTCCCAAATAAAATCCATCTTGTGTCAAGTCAATCCGATACAATAATAACTAAATAACAGATGAGTTAAAAAATTTTCGAGTGTTAATCCAAAATCACTTTTTCCAGGAACACTAGTTCTTATGTAGCACTTTCTTTAACAGTATCTGCATATCTTCTTCCTTCTTTAACACATCTCACAAACTAATTTTTTATATTACTTACGTAATTAGTTAAATATATTCAGTAAACAAAAGCTAACCGCAGTTTGCCCATATCTTTCTGAAGTAGAAGCAACAACAAAAGATGAACCACCAAAAGATGAAGGACATTTCAGTGCGAAGAGAAATTTGACTGTCCCTAAATGCAAAGTAAACAGTTTTTACGTATTGGGTGACTAAGAAATAAATAATGCTCAAAATTACACTAGCATAAAACAGTTAAAAAGTTGATGTTGGAAACTTGTTTTGCCTATCATGCAGACAAAAAATCTACTGGTTCACTCTATACATATTAATACATAATTAAAGTACTACCTCTTTTCGTCATGTCGCAAAAACAACATAAGTCAACATGAGGAAAGAAAAATAAGGAATCTTCAAGACTAAACTGTCTTCCCTATGCATTATACAATCATTACAGTGATTCTATAGTATTGAATTTAGCTTTGATATTCTCTAAATGAAATAGAGAATCAAAAAACTACAGCGAAAATGTAAAGATCAAAAGGAATACCTTCGCATCCAGAAAGAGATAATTCTCGAATAAAACAACGCTTGTACAAGTCGAAAATAACTAAACTTTGTTCGCCTTTGCGCGGGCCCCTAAATGAGAAGCAGTTAAAAATTTTGCATACATAAGCATTGAAAATGACCTTAAACTTGAACAGAAAATAAAGTAACATACGATGTTCCCGAGTTTTCATCAGCAATGGGATCATAGAGAAAATAAAGCTTAGACCGATCTATGCTTTCTTGCACATCTTGAAAAACAGCCATACGCCAATGACCCGTCTGCCTATCCAATGGATCTGATTCCCTGCCCCATGGTAATGTGACATCTTCCGTGTTAACTTGCATTACTGTAAAAATCATAAGAATAATTTGATATTATGCAAATACGATTTCGATATTAAGCTAAGAGAGCACACACAAAATATGACAGCATGACTTAGCTAAGAGAGCTTAGAACAGGATAAAGCTAAGTAACATGGAAAATCACAACGTTTTTGTCACCTTTCTGCAGTAAATGTACACGAGACATGAACGAATGATCAATAATAATACAACTCCGCCACTCCAACGTCACAATTTATTTCATTGCAAACAGAATTTAACGCAACATCTGACTAAACTTTCATCTATTTCACACAACAAATCACACCGCACCGATGAAAACTGCCAAACACTGCCAACAATGACTGCATGAACATCACCCAACATTTCATTTCCATCTCCGCCTAACTGTATCAGCTGGAATATTTCGTAATACAATTTTCATATTATGGCCCATGATGTAGACGTGATGAAATTTTGTATCTCGCTAAGACAAATTTACGTAACTCTGAAATGACCTGACGCAATAGGACTATCATACTTGTCACAATAATATCAAATGCATTTCGCTGAGTCATTAGTATTGTTTGGTTTTAGGAACCAAATGCATCCTTGGATAGTTAGCAAGTACACATCAAAACGTCTACCGATAGCAAACAATTCATGGAAATCTCAACTTCCTCTGTGACATGCTAGCAAAATGACAAAAACTATCTTAGCAAGAAACCTTTGTAGCATGAATGATTCAGATAGTAGTCTCCCACTGCTTTATCTTATTGGATATAATCATGCAAAGTGATACAATCCGTTAGACTTTAATATACAGTAGAACCTATGAGTGAGTAGTATACCAAGAGAGTAATTAACTGTTGTATTGAAGTTGGACATACATTAATCCATGTTCGTGTGTATCCTATCCATTCACAAAGTTACCATATTTTCTACTAGAGTTTCTTACACAACCGACATTTACTGGCTGAGAAATTTAATTTAAAGTCTCCACCATACTATTTCCCCAGCATACTTTTGTCAAATAGTACTTTTGTATACCTTTAAAATAAGCATTTGTTCAAAATGATATATCTTTAAGAAAGCGATCTTTTATTCGACGAACCAAAATCTGTCAAAAAATAAATCGTAATAAATAACCAATAACCGAAAAACGGAACATAAATGAAAACTTTCAAACCATGACTACACATACAAATTCTTTTGCATTTTAAGATGCTTTTACAGAAGTTTACAGAACATCTTTTTAAAGACTTGAAAGAAATCAAACTACTAAATGTCGATCTAATTTCGAGGAAAACTGCAATTTTTAGGCCTATATTGACATAGGTTACGTATGCTGATCAGCTAAAAGTTTGAAAGAATGCATACAAAGCTCCGATAGAACAACAGATATGGAATATGACCTTAATAATGCTTTTACATTAGAATCTAAACATAAGACAAATATCACAACTCACCGTATAATCTGTCGACTTATCCTTACTTTCTACTCTTTTTCTTACAATGCCTATATACTAGTAAAATAAAACTCTACAATGAAAAGGCAATAGGTACATGGTCAGAAGTTGCACTGTATTAAAATAAGAAACAAAGTGAATAATATATACAATGGAATGCTACTACACTAACCGACAAATAAAGAGAACAGAATCTCAGTTAGAAATCAGTCGAGAATACTAGGTCTTAAAGTAATAATATTCGTTTTGATCGATTTTGCACAGTCACCAGCTTGAGGCATCAAAAAACGATGGACTGCAGTAACCTGGAACACGAGATTAATAATTCTGACAGTGAAATAAGTTTAACAACAAATTTCAGAAATTAATGATCACAGAATTTCGGTAACATAGAGCAACTTCTAATTCGTCATTCCATATAGATGAATTAAATAGTGTAAAAGATACTACACAAAAGGATAACTTATGAACAAAAGTTTGCGTTAAGGAAATTAAATTAAATTGCCCTGTAATCATCTTCACCCTCGCAATAACCAAATTTGAACGTTAACATTTCGGGGATCTTTTTCCGGCTTGAAACACGTAGTATTGAACCATATGCATAACGTGCACGTAAAATGACTTCTCCAACCTAGAATAAGAGATAAATTTTACGAAAGGAAGTTTTTACAAAGGTAGAAACTTTTTTTCAAAACCATCAGTTTATGAACTTAATTTGAAATTAAAAACCTTTTCTGATAAGTGTAAAATTATTATATCGGTCTTTGTCAAAGCCATATAGCATTCTATGGTACGATGAACGGTGTTTTCTGTAAAAATTTCCAGACCTTCGAAATATTCAAGAACATCATTTGCTTTCAAAAAATCCTCGAATTTCTGAAATATGGCTCGTAATCGGAGATATTATAGAACTCCTCTCCACATTTATTAACACAACTTTGTATAATTTGAAACGGAAAACTGAGTATTTAATTTTATTATAAATTTGACAACTTTGATAAAAAAATCACGTAATCACGAGTCAACGCGCTAACCTTTGGTGCATATGATTTTGGATTGGACATGACAGAAACAGCATCTAATTCAGAATCCGAATCACTAAGAGTGAAAACAGATTTTTCATTGCGATATCGTTTACCATGTCGCTGGCTTGTCTCAACATGAGTGAATCCCTCCGCATTTGAACCAATCACCAATGCTGGTAATTTTTGAACTTTTGCTTTAATCGAAGGTGCTGTTGCTTTTACAGCATCAAGAATGCTACCAACTCCACGTATCCACTGTAAAATATTTCTGTAACTTTGCCTTTTTTTAAAGTAATTACATAATGATTCACAACTAAAGCACCATACAAATAACTAGTCATTCCGTAGCAAAAATCAAAATAGTCAAAGGAATGAAGTTTTATAAGGTTACTAACCGATGATTTTTGCTGGAAAACCTTCTCAACCACAGCAGACGACTCTATATTACATTCCTTACATCGCTCTGCATAATGTCCATCTAAACGTTCGAAATTGGTTCCTAACTGTTCATGAAGAGCTAAAACACCTCTTTTCTTCAAAAATTTCCGACAAAATAAAAATTTAAAAACTTTTTGAAAATTAACCTCTATACCCTCCATAAACTAAAGCTATATGTTTTCGGCCTTGCTGTAAGAAATTCGCAATAACCATATGACAATAAAGATCATCTTCTCGCCCAGAACCAACAAACAGAATGTGTTCATCAGGATGAGAGGCATATCGATAAGCATCTAAACTAGATACCGCTAATTTGTACTGAGCTGGCGCTTCCACGAACTAGAAAAAGTGAATGCTTCTTAGTGGAATCGAGCAATACAATAGAAAGATTCTACTGATAAAAGTTGAAATTAATGGCATGCTAATTACGAAACCTTAAAATGATTAAAGTTTGTAGCTACCACAGTATTATAGCACACATAGAAACTACTTGCAAATCAATACGAAGTGAAAAAGAATGAAAACTGGATCTCACCAGAGTAGAATCCAAATTATACGAGCCATCTAAATGACCAGCTGAATATTGATCATGAGATCGAGCATCGATAATGAAGAAAGTGGGTCCTGATTGCTGTTTTGGAAACAGTACTGATGAAGCAAAGTTGCGACTTGTGAAAACGGAAAATAAACTGACAACTACTCCTGCGTTAAAGTTTGAAACATTAACAATGCATTGAAATGCAACCTCTGATACTAGTGAGTAGTACCCGTACAAAACTTTAATATTAATTTTTAGTTAACCTAGGACTATATGGAAAATTCTTACTGCATTATTAAGATTTTCGTCAAAACCCATTCGAATTACATTGCGAGGATCAATTGGTAAAGCAAGCAATTTTGCAATATCAGCTCGTGCTTCTCCTGCACGACAAGAACCAAATAATACACGTTGGAAATCCTGAATAAAAATAAAGTTACGATCACGAGAGATAAGGAATTTGGTGACTGATATATTAGAAAATGAAATAACTCAGAGAAAAATTAGTTTTTTGGGACAAAAAAACTGATCAACATCTGTCTAAACGTAATAAAATTTAAACACCTGTTTTATAGAAGGTGGAGTCTGATTTAAAAACAAAACTGATAAGTCGAAGAAATCTTCCACATCGTTTACTGATAGTTCTTTCACAGCAAATCGGATTGTATCAATTAATTCACTTAAATATAAGATTTTTACTCACGTAAAAAATGCAAAACTTAATAATTGAAAGATTATTAATTAGAAACCTTTTGCTGTTTAAAGCCATAAGTTGATCCGAATAATTTATAAGAAAAACCAAAACCATCGCAAACAACAAGTATGGATCACCCTTAACAAAATTTTATAATATCTGGTTCCAATGACTAGGGAAATTTAATTAACAATGCATGATTATTTACTAACAATCAAATAAGAAAAATAAATCACAAAAATATACTTTTTCAAACAGCTTATCCCAAACCATATATAGTGCATTCTTGCATATTTCTGAGGCAAATAGTGAAGCGAAAAACAAGCTTGCATAGTCAAATGAAGTGACCTTATGGGATTCCAAATGAGAACTTAGCAATGGATCATGATATTGAAGTATTAAATGCATAAGCTGATAACACACAGCATCTTTTGATATGTCTCTAAAAAGTACGATACTTAGCGCATAAAGTCCTTTGATAAGAAAAATTTTAAGCTTCAAATAACAAGAAAGTCAAGAAAATTTGTAACTATTAACTCCTATTAGTATTTAAGACATCAGCTCTACGAGCTATCTTAAATACTACTAGGAGATAATTAAGAGTTCAACTTGATAAAAAAAATTACCTTGGAACAAATTTTGTTATTATGGTATAAAATATATTGTAAAGGTCGTCCAATGTACAGCGTAGTGGTACTAACATTTCCAAAATATTCATATAACTTGCACGAAAATCGCATCCTTCTCGTTCACAAAACAATGCCAAAATAGATTCCAAAGTAGTAATCTCAATTATATGAGAGTATTGGGTGAAGAATGTCATACATGCTGTATGGATTAACTCATTCTTTTGATATGGAAGCTTTTCCCGTGGAAAACCTGGTTTGTTTTGAACGCCAAGATTAGCCTAAAGCACCTCTTCATATAGAAAATATTAAGTGAGAAAATCGAGAGTTGCCAGAACAAAACTCTAAATGTTTACAATTTATAAGTTATTTATTTATTTTGTATTACATTCCTATCATTTTGAACTGAAACTTTACTACTGCAATTTTTATTTCATAAAAAAACGAACCACCCATTTTTGTTGGTAGAATTCCAAACATTGCCATGATTTATTGTCAAGGATGGTAGTTGACGTCTTATCTTCTTCTCCAATCATTATTCATCACAGAAGATAAACACGTTAGCTGGAATGACTGGTTATAAGCATAAGCATACCTGCAACAATAATTGCAGAATTTTACATCAGCAGTTAAAGTTAGACCAATGACACTGTATCTTCTCTCCCTTTATTAACTACATCAATCTAAAAACAAGGACAAAGTCTAGAAACATCACGCAAGAGCGTTAAAATTATGCTCCAACTCTTTTACGTCTCAACAATCAACTTCACACCGTATCGTTCAAATTATTGCTCACTCGCCACGCATTATTACCAGTCAGTGCAATTACTAGTCTCACATTTGAGCAAATACCATAAAATTATTGCACAAATTTTGTATGAATTGTTGAACGAAGTGATAATTATATAAAATATTAACGTCATTCAGTTATATCTGTTTGACTTTTGCAAAAGAAACACAAATAAGTACTCATGTTTACATGAATAATTTGTTAATTAAATAAATGGTCGTGTGATCTAAGATATGATCAGCCTAGTTTTTGTGATAACCAAGATGTCAGTCGTACGTCATTTAATTGGTTATTATTTTTAGTCATATATCAATATCACTAATATACATCAGTATTACTAATACCAATCAATAAATAACTGACTTGCAAAAACAAGAAATTTTAAAAAGTTTTGTTGAATTGTTGAAGTAAAATAATATCAACAACACTTTTATCTTGAAAAAATCACTCTACTGACTAATTATGATAATAAAGTAAAAGTTGCACTGTAAATAGTTGTAAGAAAAAAAAAAGCTTATATTAGTTTATTAAAACTTAGCATCACTTTATTGAGTAATGTCACAGTATTTTACTCACATATGAAAATCAATCTAATTAATTAATGATAAAGAGAGTAAAAAATATGGGTAAAATTTGCTTCATTACTTTTAGTTCAAATGAAAAGCTGAAATAAGAATTAGCACTTGTAGAGATATTTCTAATAGTGCTTTTTATAGAAATGTTTGTGTTACACGTAATATAATGTTATGCAATAAAATATATTCAGTTATAAAGATTAATCTCTGCGTGTATGTATATATGCATGTATAGACAAGTCACAAGATGAAGCTTGCAAGCTTTCAAGATAAGCTAATTCAAACCTTATTGAACGAATAGTAGTAGCTTGTGCTTTTCGTCTGCAAAGCCAAGCCATAGAAATTGCTACAATCTCTTACTCCTTCTAAACTCATGAATTTTTATTCGTTTTAAAGTTTTATAAAAAGGGATTTACAATTTCTTTTACTTTTTAATTCTGCTATCTTGAATTTTGAAGTGTTTCGTGTAAACTCGAAATCAAAACATACCTTTGGTAATATCTGGAACAATTCAAAGGATTATAACCTAGCAGATATGATTTGATGTAAAAACTGTTTTACATTAGATTGCGTAAAAGTATAAGGGTAATAATTTGATACTATAAGCATTACAATATGATGATCACACTGTTAAAAAAATGATTGACTTCAAATATTTGAAGGAATTGTTAGTAACACTATCGCTCTACTAACACGAAAACAATTAACTGAAAGTATGGCTAAGTACAAAAAAGGTTAGTACTATAAACACATACTTAGTGATTAATTAATATAAAATAAGCTTCAACTTGAAATCATGAAGTGTTAGTGTTTTCATGTGTGCTAAATTATTCAATAGAAGTACATTATTAGAACGAAATTGCAATTAAGTAGAAATGCTTAGTTAATTGTTGTCAGTAAAATTACTTACAGAGTGATTTACTTTAAATTTTTAATTAAATTACAAAAATTACAAAAAATTAATTTAATGTGATTGATCGTTTGCGTAAATTATTTAATGATTTGATACAGTGTAAATTATATTTTGTAGTTAAAAATGATTAGAACTGTTCATTATGCGTCTATATGCTTAAGGTAAAGATGCGAAATTCGCTGAAACAATTGAAGATGAATGGGAAAGTCAGCATGTATGCTTTAGTCTCGATGACAAACCCTGGAAAAAAGAAGTTGATATTCCAGTACATCAGTCCTTATTTAATATATCAGAACAGCCATTTTCAGCAATCAACGCATCATTACTTCCTACATCATTCGCAGAAACATCTCAAATGTATATTTTTTATTTTTAATGAAAAAATTCGCTTATTTTTTTAAGTAATGATTAGGAAAATCGATAAATGATCTCGGTTAAATAATCGAATTCCGAACGCAGATTGCTGAATTTTAGATAGTTTTATTGCATATGATTAATTTGAAGCTATCATAATGAGATAACTGAAAGTACTGCGAATGATTTTTTGAAAGAGTGAGGAACTAAAATTCTAGAAACTCATTACAACACATTATTTGTAGAAGTAATAACAAAAAAAAAGATTTTACAAAGAAAATGGCTATGCAAATATCTGAAAGAATCAATTTTATTATAATTTTTCTTGGTCTGTTTATAATAATTACCATTATTATCCTAGAGCGATTGAGGTTGAAATGTTCAAATTTCATGGAAAAGCTAATAAAATAGATAGATAGACTTGTCAGATATAAGATATTTCATTTATATTAAGTGACAGCAGTTTTAGCTATGAGATAAGATGAGATAAAAATGAAAATATATGCGCTCACTATTATCAATTCATGAATATAATTCATAAGATTACTTCAGTTTCGATGAATTTGGATTTCATATCGATGGTGAATTTGACATCTATGATAAGTCACCAGTTGAAATTTCACAGGATCGGTATGTTATTAAGAATCGAAATTTAATCATTACAATCTGAATCTATTCGTTATTTTAATCGTTTATCACTTATAAAAATGATAAAGTTATTATCGAATTTTTCAGTTTAATAATTAATCATTTATTTTGTAAATCAAGAAGATTAATTAGCATTACATTTCTAACAATTAATAACTGATGACAAAAAAACAATTACTTTAAAGAATGCGTTGGTTAGCTCTGCTCACATTTGCTCACGAGGATGTGGAAGAAGAATTAACGTGGTCAAAAGTGTGTGTAGAAAAACTAAACGAAGAAAAATTGATGACACTTCTTCATGAAGTGGGGATAGCACATTCTCTTCGACCTTTTTTATGGCCAAGATTTTGTGGTGCAACGAAAAAAAAATCTACAAGTGTTTTTAGTTACAGTGATGTTGTAAAGCAATGTGATAAAGATAAGCCATCAATAGGCGCGCAAATTGAAAAAGACTTGCCAAGGTTAGAAACTGTATAAAATTACTTCTACAGAAGTTACTGTTTATTGTAATTTAATTGCTACATTTTTTTTGCAACAAACAAATTTAGAAAATGTTTTAACGAAGTTTGTATTTGTTTAATATTTGTAAGAGCAAAAAAATAATATGGTACTTTAAGGCTACTACTAAAACAATTTATTATTTCAGGACTTTGCCCCACAATATTTGTTTTTGGCAAGCAAATAGCATAGGAATCGAAAGCTTACGACGGATTTTGAAATCAATCGCTTACATTTATCCAGATGTTGGCTACTGTCAAGGAATGGGTATTATTGCAGCTACCCTACTACTTGTTTGCCCAGAAGAAACAACATTCTGGATGATGGCAACAATGGTTGAAGATATATTTCCTCCTAATTACTATAGTTGCTCGTTAATTGGCTTACAGGTTACAACTTTGATATCGTTTTCATATTTACTACTCTTCAATAGCAATCCTTCAGTTTTACTAATTATCTGCTATTTCTCTAGCAACAAAAAATCAGTCATTTGATAAAGTTTTTGTTACTTTAAAATGTGTAACAATTTTTATCTCGTAATAAAACAATGTAGCAACAATTATGAAGAAAAACAAAAAACGAAATTCAGGGAGATGAAAGGGTTTCACGGCAGCTTATTGGAGTACACTTACCTGAGCTTGATCGTATTTTGAAAGATAATGACGTAGAATTATCACTAATTACTGTCAACTGGCTGCTAACAGCATTTGCATCAGTTTTGCCTATGCGAGTATTGCTACGCGTTTGGGACTTACTTTTTGTTATCGGTGGAGTAACGATGTTCAGAGTAAATTTTGCTTACACTGATATTTTAAATTTATTTAAAATTAAAAAGATGATTAATTGATATTTAATTTTCAATCGAAAGTAAATATTAACATCACTTTCCATTCTTTGCATCTATTGTTGGGTAAGGAGATAGTTTTTTAGTCTAGAGTATTAATTACAGATAATAATTGAATGTCAAGGATTTGCATTTCATTACGACTGAGTAAAACGATTTTTAAACGCTGTCACTGATCAAATTACAAATATTACTTTTACAGGTACTAATCTCCATTTTAAAGATTAAAGAAGAAGAACTGATCGGATTAAAATACGATGAAAATGCTTCAGCCGCATTATTCAATATGATATCACGAATTCCAGGCTCATTAAAAAATTCGGGTACTATATTTTTAAGTTTTTTAAAACTGTAAGATTGACGTATTTGTAGAAAGTTTACGAATTTGATCACTTAAAATTGCATTTTTAGAACATTTGATGGAACTATGTAGATCGTTCGAATTCTCAATAACTGAAGAATTGATCAAGACCGCCCGAAAACGTCAACAAGCGATTCTTTTAGCAGATCAAGGACTTATCATAAATACTAATAGTGATGCAAATTTACCTAAGCAACATATTAAAAGACGGAAATTGGCGCGATCAAAAAATTTAGTGCATCAATTGTTTACCTCATCCAAGCAGCAGGTTTGCTTTGCTTTATATCAAACTTAGCCATCCATAAACTTTAAACAAAACAGATTTTGATGGATTTGAAAAACATTTCAGGAAAAAAGAATTGAGCCTTAATAGAGCTTTTTACTTTTTCCCTACACTAATCTTTTTCGAAAACGAATACGTAAAATTTTAAAATATAGTACACTTGGCAATTTTCTACCTATTTTCTGTTTAATTAAATCACGTAATTATAGTCATTTTGATTTTTTTTTCTTACTGTTTGCAATATTTAAGCTTTAAAAAATCTTTTTTAAAAAAGTATTCATTCAGTAATAACTAGCAGGATATGGAAAATGATTCGAAAACAAAAAATATCCGACTGACTGAGCTTATAGTTGATTTACGAGATGCCATATTGCACATATGTAAATATTTCATTGAATGTGACGAATCATTTGAAGGTGTTGTGAATTTACAGGTTTGCCTATTCTGCGATATAAATTTGGTTTAATTTTATACTCACAAAATTGTAAATATGCCAAATTGTAAGATTTGAATATTTTGTACAGTGAAATTAAATTTTTTCAATAATTTTAATATGTATATATTTTTTTTACACAGAAATAAATACATTTAAATTTGAGGCAGATTATTTGAAAGAAGGTCAAGAATGTGAAAAGGAAGAATTTTTAAATTGTCGACGTCGTGGATATCGTCGTGCTAGAGCGCTGCTTGATTTTCAACGACAAGATGAAGACGAACTTGGATTCAAGTTTGATAATTTTCTTCATTATTACTGAAGATTTGCATGCTATATTTGGTATGTATAAACGTTATTATTTGCAGAAAAAATGATATAATAACAGTTATTTGTGAAAAAGATGAACATTGTTGGGTTGGTGAAGTGAACGGACTGAGAGGATGGTTTCCTGCAAAGTTTGTTAAGGTATGCACTTTTTTGGCTCATAACTTATAATTATTTTATTCTAATATAATCGTTTAATCTACTTTTCATGCTTATAATATTTTAGTAAGTAAATGATCTATTACAATGCAATGTTTTTTTATTTTCAGATAGTTGATGATCGTGGATGTGACTATACAGTATATGGTGATGAAGCAGTGTGTCCTGAAATAACTGATAAAGTTCGTGGACGTTTGGCTTTAGCATTAAAACTTGTTCTTGAGCATGGCTTGCGAAAATCAGGAGTACTTAATTTTGCGTCACATCCATGGCTTTTTATTGGTACTTTTTTCACCAACAATTAAGTTTAGAAATTTTTTTGTTGATTTGAAATAGTTTCATTTTGTTTTTTTAGAGGAAATTTCTCAAAGTTTTGTACAAAAACATGCAGTCTACTCACATTTGGTACTTTGTACAACCTTCAGCTTGGATCAAGACGAAAAAGTAATTCTAAAATCTTTTATTAGTGTATCGGTTTTTCGCTTGCATTTTTTATCTGAAATTTTATTGCTTCTTTTCATTTATCATAGCTTTATCAAACAAATCAAACCAGAATAATAACTTGAATAACATCAAAAATGCTTCTTCAGAAGTTTTAATTCGATCTTGATTTTGAATTTGCAATAGTTTTAACATTGCAGTATTACTTTTACAGATGGTTTGCACATTTTAAACTTAAATTAAAGTTTACTGCTGACAACCATTCCGGCATTACTTAAATCAGAACAAGCAGTACAAAAAATTACCATTTATTACAAAGTCTAATAATAAAATTTATCTGCTGTGTTGTAATTTATTCATAAGATAAGTTTAGATAAAAATTATAACAACAGTTGTCTTTATTTAGATACTAACACCGCAAGAACTGTTATTTCGAGCTGTAAAGTTAATTAATGAATCGCATAATGCGGTCGGAGCTGAAATGGATGTAAAATTTCGTTCATTAATTGCTGTAGCAGTTAGTGAACAATGTCTTCATTTATGGTTTGATTTACTGTGTAGTAGTCGTAAGGATGATCATATTCGAATCAAGTATTATCATTCATGGTCATTCATACGATCGCCGATATGGAAACAGGTCCATATTTAAATTTTTACAATACTCTCATATTCATCATGTCAGTATGATTTTTTCATTAACTAACTTTCACCAAAAATTTAATTTATTAAAATGTGTGAGTTTGTAATGATAACAGTGACTGCAAGAAAAATTGTAATAATTGAAATGAGTTTACTTAAGGCATTACAGAACATAACAGATTGTATTGCAGATAAAGAGCGAACTACGACTTCTAGCTCAGTTTGCTTTCAATCTAAATGCCGATTATGAAGTTGCTGATATAGTAAGAAAGCAGAAGAAACATTTAAGCTTGAATGATACACTGAAAAAAAAGGTACGAATTCGTTACTAAGTTGACGAATCGTTTTTCTATTTTTTCGTATATGGCAGCATAATGATTACAAAAACTTAACTTGAAAGTGATAATGTGTTTGAGTTGTGTTACGTAGTGACACAAGTATAATACTTAATGTATTTGATTCATTTTGCTAAACTTGTTTACTAGTAATTTATGTCTTCTGTTTCGAACACATCATTTTTGAACTGATGTCAAATGCTTGTTTCACATCAACTTTGTCATTAATGATCCTTTAGGCATACACATTCACTATCAAAATCATGTTTTCACGTTAAACTCCTGAATTCATGTAAGATACCTGATTTTTTTTTATAATTTTAGGATTGCTTGAATATATCATCAGGCAGCACTCAAAGTTCATTTAATCAACCGCTGAAGGAAGGTGTGCGAGATATGCTCATCAAGCATCATCTTTTTAGTTGGGACTTGTAATCGTAAAATCCAGTAGTTACGTATGTACGTCAAAAACGTATTAAGAGATAAATTGCTCTTAATGAAAATTAAGGACTTATGATTGAAAGAAACTATTATAAATGCCTAAATATGACATGATAAGAAAATACAGGGTATGTTTTTTATGTGTGAAAACAGAAACTAATTTAATAAACACAAAAAGCTGAGTAAAATGTTTTTATGCTATAACATAGAGTAATGCAAAAATTGAGAATATAAAAATAAATTCATTTGCATAAATTGACTGAGACTAATGCTTTTTCACACTACATCAAAATGCTGAACGAAGCAAAGGACATATTAGTTTTGAACATAATTAGTCAAACAAATTTTTGAATAATTAATTGCAATTGTAATGCGTGGAACTGAAGATTGGTACTGTACATGTGAAGAAAGAATTGCTGATTTATGCTAAGCCATGTATACTTAGGTATTTTTCTACAGTGAAGAAATATGCTTTTGTTCATTGCAATATTATAAAATAAAAAGAGCAATAAGCACTGGCAGTAGTAGTTTGAGTTTTATATCTGAGCGGAAATGCTTGTAAAAATGTGTTGTAAATATATTGTATATAAAGTGTTGCTTGCAGAACTGGAAAGAGTGATGATAAATTACAGCTGACACTGAGCTGCAGTTGATGAAGGTCCACAAGGACATCGATCCAAACAGATCATCATTTTTTGTGGAATACTGACATGCTTATGAATTTGTCCATTAGATCTCACAGCCGATAATGTAGTTGGAAACTAAAGACACAATTAGCATAACAAAAGTAATTGTTATAATTATTATGTAAATAACGATCTTGACTAGTAATCGCAGAAAAAATAGAAAGCAAATAATAAATAATATATGAATGGTTTACACAAATACATGAAGCAAAAGAGTAACATTACCTGCCAAAATAAGCAACCTGCTAATGAAAAGTCTGCTGAATCGTTTGATATTATTGGTCTAGCAAATTGTACTTGTAAATTGCCATTAATTAATGAAATAGACTGAACAAATACATTTTGTTGCGTATCTACTACTGGTGGACTATAACCACGAACAAACTCATCAAAGACCAGTACTTTTCTATTTACTATAAGTACGCCAATAAAGTCAAGCCCACTGTACTGAAATATTTACAAAAAAATTACAGTAAAAAGTAAATTATGGAAAGCAAACTTTATCTTTACACGCTGAATAAAAGTATATATTTATTATTGGCTTAGTAAATTGTACTTGTAAACTAGCACTAATTAATGAATTTGAACAAATAGATCTTGTTGCGCATCTAGTACTCTGGATTCTCATCAGTGACCAATACTTTTTTATCTACTCTTTTAATCCACTATCTTTTTTATCTACTTATATATATATATTTGAAGTTTGCTATTACTACACTCTAATTACATAGATTAAATAGTAGATGCGAACCATTGATTCTCCGAAAGCAACACCAGTCCAAGCATTTTGTCCTAAAGGATAGTCGTTATAAGTAAGCTTAAAATATGCATATTGTTGGTTTCTTGCGAATTGTAAGAGATATGATCCATGTCGATACTGACATACTGCTGCACATCCTAACAAATAATTGGCTTTTTAAATTTATTCAAAAAATTTGTTGCTATAAAAACAATCTTATTTGTGTCTTGCTAGTGCTTTTGTCGTGAAAGCAACGAACAACTGAGAAGCAGTTGAAGCAGTAATTGTTGCCATTATTTTTGCTTTCTTCTACATGAATTAGATTACTGTAGGCAATTAATGAATGTATACCAAAAGAATATTAAATAATTTTAAAAGTAGAATGTTATCTTTCTCGAAGCAAACGTGAATATTTGTTTATGTTGCTTCTTCTGTTTAGTAAGAATAGCAATTAACTCGCAATAAAGAATTCTACTTAGAAAAAAACTCTTTTGACTATTTTGTTACTTGCATAATACATTTTGTAATGAGCATGAAAAATCTCTGAAATTTAATATTTGCATACAAATACGAAACACATGTTAAGCGTTCTATAGAATGAATAGAACGATGCTGAAGATCATTTAGTTATTCAGTGTGGTCACTACAGGTTCTATTTTCTTTATTAATAGAAGCGCTAATGAAATACAATACCACATGATTCTAATTCCAGTTAAAATTTTCCGCGCAAATTAGATTTAAGAAGAATTCTTTTCAATTTCAAGCATAAAACTCAACTGATTATGTTTGATACTCCTTATGGCTAATATTTATTCTCATTATTTAAGATAAAATTTATATATCATATAAATACCAAAAATCATACCTGAAAAAAAATAAACAAAAAACACAAATTTCATTGCGAGTAAAGGGAGTAGAAGACTGATGCAGTTACTGAGCGTAAACCTTACTTCCTTCCATTTATTTAAGTCGCAAAAGGGTCGGGTCTTGCAATATAAATATATACATATATATACGCAGTGACGGAGGATATAGATGAACGACTTTTAATCGTCAGTCATTACTTTACATGATTAAAAATACGCCACGCCATTACAACAATCATTATCACTATGAGACACGTTCAAAAAAATATTACAACCAAATAACTATTAAATTGATTGCATGACTTACACTGAATCCATCACATGCACGAAAAGTTGAAATTTCCTACTTCATTCTACCATAATTCCACGAGACTTCATCCCATATAATAATTTTTTTTTTACAGACTCATGCAGCGTGAAGTATCACATGCATAGTACGTTTGATGGCCAGTCTCAACCCGCGCAGACTAGGAGAAGTTGCTAAAATATGCCTTCAAACCATTTCTAACAGAGTCATACACTTTTAGTAAATTTTTACAGCCAATTTTCAAAACCACTTATCCACATTTTCATTATTTCAATGCCAACAATGAGTCAATCATAATGAAATTTTATTATAGTACAGAAGGCTTTACAGAAAATAATATAATCCACATGACAGACAATCCCATCGTACTACATGAACGAATTATCAGTTACTAAAAATATTTAGTTTCGCATGAACCCTGAATGTGAAAGTTCTTTAAATCAAAACTGACAATCAGTAATGTGTTGATACAATGAATAACTTTCTGCAACACAGTAACTCGAAAAAAGGAGAAGTTTTTCTTTGCAAAAATATTACGATCCAAGACATATATATCAGATCGACAAATACATTGTACTAATAGGTGATACATCCAAAACATACAAATAGGCAAACCTTTTGAGTATAAAGCAATGAAAATTGATGGTTATATCTAATTTCAGTCACAATTTTGGATGAAATATAATAATTCTTTGACAGAACTAAAAGACTTATATCATGTACCACCGAATCTCACATTGTATACCAATTTTAAGAATATAGAAAGAAACAAGGTAAAATAGCAAAGGGAAAATTGTCACAAGTAATTTAAATATCACAAATTATTCACAAAAAGATAACATTCACTAAACATACGTATTGATCAATCCGAGTACTTCACTGTTGAGCAAATTTGCAATTACATGCAATCCAAAAAATCGCTGAAATATATGAGTATTGAGAATGAAATAAATTATTTCTCCAAGAAAATGAAACTCTGAATGCCGAATCTATCTTAAGAAATGAAAGGTATGTTGAACGAAAAAACCATTCCAACTGGATAGTCATCAGATGAACAAAACTATTTAACTTTATCCTTCAAAAGTCCAGTAAAATATAGCAGAATATAATTCTCCAAAGGAAAAATGGTTGTGCAGTGTGAGCAACGCCCTGAGCAAGGAAGACAGTAGAATAAGTAACAAAAGAAATACATAGTAAAAATCATGTACTGACCGATTCATCTTTAGTAGGAACAAAATGAACTCAGAAAGCAAACCACGACACGTCTTACTGCTTTCTTTCCAGTGCACTACAGTGCAAATTATAACTGATATAAGTTTCATAACGATTTGATGTGAACGCTCATCGAGTCAAATTAAAAAATCAGATACGTGATACTTGAAAATATCATAACTTGATAAAAATTTTAACGATCGGACTCACCATACACAGAATCTTCGCCTCAAGTATTTTGAAATGTTGCAGCTAGAGAAGAGTAGGAATTAATTATCAGTCAAAAAAAAGAAAAAATAGTGAAATAACTGCAGTATCAACGTTTGATGACTTCTAAAGTGCAGACTGTATTTTTCTCAGCAGCCAGAGTTTTCACAATGCGAACAATACAGCCCCATTTAATAGATGAGAAAAAAGGCTAAAAATTGGTCAGAATGTTAGCAGTTAACTCTTTCGAACTGGTAATGGAGTGGCAACAGATGCTGCTGCTGCTGCAAGCGATGAAAACGATGATCTACATGACTCCAATGAGGCGACAGAACCCCTAAAAAATTTGCTACTTTAGAAGTACTGTCTACTTGAGAGCATTTCGCCGAAAGCAACTGCAGTAGCACTTTTTCTTTTGCCTGCTCCTGCTGTCAGGAAAAAAGTCGTACAACAGGTTAGTTTTATTGCTCATTTCACAGAAACAAAAGATGAAAAAAAGAAATAAGGTGATTTATAATTAGATAAGAATTAGACTTAAGTGATTGCTAAGAAAGACGGTGCACTGATCGTTTTCCACTCAGAAGAACAGAATATATAGACAATAAATAAGTGCTGACGTTATGAAAAAACTTTATTTCCCTAAATGATTTGAGAAATTATGCACAATAATGAGTAATTACTTGAAATCCAGTGAATCGAGTAACTCGTAGTAATACATAAGTTTGCACTTATGTCCAGATATAGAAAAATCGAAGGACTGATTCGGTGTTGGGTCCAGATGACGCCACTGTAAAATGTAATAACCAATCTGGGAGCAATAATGTGATCCTTGCATTGAGTCACCCTCTGTGAACTGCATGGGCTTTTCTTCCAATCTATAAATTTTTCAAGACTGGATCTTACTAGGAATGAAAAATTAAGAAGCTGGAATCAACATGACAAGTAAACTCTTAATATATATTAGTTATCATAAGAATCTGCAGTCGAAGAATTACTTCAGATTGACTCCAAGTGTCAATTTTGGATCACAAAGTAAGACTGAATTCACAGATATATTTCCAATAACCGCAGTTACTCGTTCAACGGAAGTTAATACTGACGGAGAACTCGGTGTGCCAACCGCTTCTATGTGTTTTTCCGTGTAATAAATCAAGAATTCACACTCACCCTTAAAAAAGTACACTGAAAAGCATTAAACATATGATTTTGGAGTAATGTAACATCAAATAAATGTTACATTTATTTATCATATAATGGTTGCGATTTCCCCTGAAATATGTTTCATGACAAAAATAAATTTGTTGAAGTTATGCAGCGGAAATCGTTAGATTATTCTAAAAACAGATTAAACACAAATTAAGTGAAAAATCTGGAGAAAATTCGAAAAGAGAAAATTAAAAATATATTCGGACCAACCTTTAAAATATCAAAATCCCAAGTAAGAACACATCCCTGAGCATTCACTTTGACAATCACTTCATGCGGTGCGCCTCTGTAGACAATCGCTGACTGATAATTTGATTTCAAGACATCATCTTCTATCACTGTCTATAAACATGCATCAGCAAACAGAATCGAATGATTTCAAACACAATTATCCAGTTTCATCAATTTATTTTTATAAAGTTTAATAAAGAATATATGCATAACTCTTACTTCTTCCACTGGCTTATATAGACTCTTAGCGATATGTCCACCTTCAGGTGCCAAACATGAGGAGGTTCCTCCCAAAAATGCAGGAATAAATTCTTCAGAAATATATTTTTTGAGCTCGTTGACGACTGGCTGACCCGAATTGATCATAAATTTTTTCCTTGTATTTTCATCAATAAATGGTGAGATGAGAGTCCATAAAACAGGAAAGACACGCGGAGCTCTAGTTATTAAAACTAGCCCCATTGTTTCAGGATAATGCGCTTCCGCAACTTCAATTATTCGAAGCAGAGCTTGAATCCCCGGACGCCACAGGTGTCTCATACTCAAACCTTCCAAATCAACTAACAATGTCCATGTACTGAAAGCGATATTCAATCTAACTTTCCTAGGATAAAATTATAGCTAGAAACCAAAATAAGCAGCATATTATTTTCGTCAGTTTGATATAAAATGCTAGAGAAAGTAAGATAAAATAACTACAAGAAAACTCACCTTATAGGAGCTCCAAGCATTTGTGTAGCTTTTGCAGTTTTTATAAGACCTTGTTCGATTATCGATAAAGTAAATTTCATAATCGTTTCCATACCGAACGTACGCAGTAAACCTTTCATATCAAGTCTACCCAAACGAAGAACAAAAACTGGCCTTGAAATTATCAATATCAAATAACATATTAGTGAATTTTTCACTATTTCAAAAAGTACGACAAACAGACACTTCTTTTACTTACATTTTAGGACAACTAAGAAGTTTTCAGTCAATATAATTGGAAGTGACACTCTACCTGCCTTCTCTATCATGATGATGCCAACAACCGGGAAAAAACTGTTTTAAAACAGGGGGAGCATCGAAATCTTGCAAAATTTTATCGACATTATATTGCTTTCTCCATGTTACACTTTTCTGCACCATCTCACTGGCTCGAGTAACATCAAAATCACGTGCACGTAAAAAACGTAGCAGGTGGGCGTCATTTGGAATCTTTTCCTGAAACAATTATTATAAATCATAATAACAAAATTTTGTCGAATAGTACTTAAAGACGTCCTAAAAGATTTGAATAGATAATAATCTTTCCAAAGTAACATCATCTTAAAAGTAAGCATTCAAGAAAATTTGTAACAAAATATAGCTTTAAATAAAAGCCAACCTTGAGCACATCTTGAAGTCCATACTTCAATTCACAAAGACGACTTTCCTCTAGAGTACTGAGCTGACCTAAGAAGCGGCGGATATATTCTGATTCCAACCTGGCATCGGCTAGAATGAAATGCATATGATGTTGTTTACGACCATTTCAATCATGAATTCGACATATCAAAGGGCTTATGTCAAAGTCACCGAAGTAGAACAAAATAATAATGATGATTATGTAGGAGTATTAATGAAAAATATAGGAATAAATAAGCCGATATATGTAGCAATAAATACCATAATTGACAAGTATATCTTTTTTGCAGTAAGCAAAGCTCACTGCAAAAAAGATATACTTGTCAATACAGAATACAAAGACTTTTGAAAGAAGACAAACTATGGAGGTTAATGTGTCCATGAAGTAACAAGGCACCAATAAATAAACATAAACTAATTATGTCGCCTGAGGTTCTTTAAGTAACTGGAACAGGTAATTTTTGTTTCCTAAGGAAGCTAATAGACAAAATACAGACTAAAAAAGGAAAGGAAAAAATCAGAAAAGTAAACACAGAAAAACCAACAACGAAAAATGATTGTCTGCAAGATGAATAATTACATGCCAGTTAAGCATGCAAATTAAAAAAAAAACTTCTAGACTTTGTATCCAAATCAGCTTTGTGTGTGATCTTTTCAGATAAATACGACACAAAACAAACAAATTACAACCAGTTCCCTACTTGTTGAAATCAAACTACAAAGAAGAAGGGGAAGTAGACAAAAAATGAATGTGTTACAATTTTCAGTAGTAAAATTCTACATGAGCATATGAAAAATAATGCATGGCTTCTGCATACGATAAAAGAAACAGTAGAAACAAAAATCCCTAATGACTCTAGTTCGCAACAAGGTTACCTCTCATTCTCGTTAAAAATGATAAGAATGTGAAAATTTAACAGCTACGAGATCAAAAAAAATTAGTGAAATAAAAACCAACATTCGTCGATAGAATTTCGAGGTGTGCTTGATTTGCGAGGTATGAGTGTAGAGGATGATTTTTTGAGGACTGAAAATTTGCGGTTGCTAGAAGACCGTCGACCTTGCTCAGCCATTTCCCGATTATTTTTTTCCTTATCTTTATCATCTTCATCAGCAGGCCTTGAAACGTCAATCGCTGAGTCAGCTGCTGATACTGTTGCATCGCTGTAGGGTGGAATAAACGTTACACCACTTTTGATCAATTCATTTATGAAATACTCCAATATCTCTTTCCCCTATAAAATATTGCTTGTTTTAATCACTGAACAGGATGAAATAGATTTTCCAGAAAGTGTTGATTAATGACATAAAAATCTTACCTTAACAATGTTAGCTACATATAGCTTGACTACCAATTTTTCGACTGCAGATTCAAACCCGTAAAATGATTTAACATCTAGTGAACCGCTTTGTTCAAAACATGTCCACTCACTGTTGTCTGGATGAACCTATAAAAACTGCATTTTATTTGATGGTCTTTGTTATGGGTATCTATAAAGTTCTAATGAAAATTTGAAAAATTTCAAAAATATGGAAAAAAATATTAAAAAAACTAAGTATTAAGAATGGAATTTAAGATCACTACAATATTTTTGGAAAAAAATTAATTACATAAGTATATAGAGTGAATAATACGTACAGCAAAAAAGGCAAACATACGTAATAAAGACATGTTTCTTTGACATCGATTCGAGCTGCGAAAGAAATATTTGTTGCTTCTATAATCAGAGTACGTTTTCTGCGATCAAGAGAGTTCTTTTGCGTAAAATAAATATAATCAACACCAGCTATCTGACAAAAGTTAATGATGAACATTTGAATACGGTAGTGTAGAGCTGATATGAAGTAGAAGTGGACATCATAAAATCAAAATTATGGAAGAAAATTACTTTTTTAACTAGATAAGGTGCTTCTACGTTCAGCTGACATTTACGTTCAATTACTTCCTCAGCACCATCTTCCGAATGATACTCATAAATTATTTCAGATCCAACAAATATCGGAATTTGAGGGCAAGTTGGAAAACGCTTTTCATAAGCCTAAATGTACAATACTACAGCCTTCAAAAGCTGTTTTCATAGATTATGCAAATGCAGTTTGAAATATTTGATAAGCAATACAAAAGTTGGGGAAATCTGAGAATTTTAAAGAAAAAATACGTGCTGTGACTAGCAAAACAATGTAATTTTAAAAAACCAAAACGATTAAACAAAACTAACAGCCATCACAATTTCAAACGGGTATTTGTATACACGAACAGGACTTTGGTAGGTCTGTACCATTGTTTATTATCTGGAAAACGATCTTATTCCAGAATAAATAATATAAAATCATAAACTGAACGCTGTCATCTATGCATTTAAGAGTGATGAATGTTACCTTGGTGAGTAAGGTAATTCCAGAGGATTGTGCAGGTCAGATATGCATGAGATGCATATCAAAGCTGTATTTTTCAGTTTCTTCAGAAACTCTTTTGAAAAGAACATATTTGTTCTACACACAAGTAATTAATGCAGCATCATAATGATATACACGAGACGCATTTTATGATGATAATACATGTGTATGCTCATAAAAAGCGAGCAGTATGAGTGATAAATTACTGCAATATAAAATTAAAGGCGATGATGTGCTTCTGTCTCCGTGGAATTACCAATCATTTAACTTTCCCTCTTTGATATGCTACGAATTTTTTACGTTCTACGGATAGCAAACGTAATTTAATAATATATTCCGTTCATAGTAAAAAAAAAAACATTCTCACTGCATTCGGTAATAAATCTTCATCTGTGCTCCTAGTGTGACACACGACAAATGCAGTGCAGGTTGTGTTTTTAAAATATTTGCCATATATCTATCTCTTTACTAATTAATCAGCCTATCTACTCTCCCATCCATCTAATAGTCCAATCTGGAACTGGATGTCAACAAGAACGATAAGTATCAATGCTTTTAGATGCAGTTGAACAATACCACAAGATGAAGGAAACATAATCAATAGGCTTCACTCATTGCAATGATCTATGATTAGATTACAACCGATCAAGTTCGGTGGTTTAAAATTTTTTAGATATTTATTTGTAATGAACTGACTCGTTGCAAGTTGTTTCTTATATCGCATTATGCATCGGTTTCTATACTATTTAGAAACGTTTCTTCTCACTACTTATATTTTTGACCAACTTTTGCTGCTAACTAAATTTTTAGTACGAAGACTAAACTGACAGATATATTTACGAGCAAAAATTATTCTTTATTTATAATTTCCCACAGCAATTAAATAACTGAAATTGCTACATTATAATTAATTCATATTTACTAAAATCATACAAGGTAATAAATAATCCATGCATATAAAGATGACTAAGGCTATTTTAGTTCTTAATTCGCAGTACCAAAAAAGAGTACTTGGAAATCGAGTAAAATGTAGCAGACGAAGAGGTATCAAAAGAAGGGAGAAGAAAACTAGGAAATATGCGTTGAAACTGCAACTACTGCTATAAGTACGTGAGGGCAAACATGTAGAAAAAGCAAGATTTCTTTTCACCAAGAAAAGTAGTTCCTTTGAAAGTTTATTTGTAAGTAAGTAACGTCTGTGCACTTTCATTCAACGAATCACTTTTATCTTCTTACCTTATTACACATCTTTGCTTCTCAATCACTGGCCACTTTCTATTTAATTTATTTCCTTGACACACAGTTCTTCTAAATACCTCTCATACTATTTCAAATGTGTAGCATTATGTGATAAAAAATCTGTTTGCATATATGCACATATGTGACTACACTACACATTATATGCTAGCTAGCCCAGCATATAACATTTTACCCAAATGCCTACAGCAGCATTCGACATTACTTTGTAAGCAAGAAAAATAGTTTTTTCTGTTCACGTTATCACGTAAAAGATTACATGCATACAGAGAATTTTGCATCAATACTGATACAATACAATCTAATCAAATAAGACTTACAGAAGCTTGCGTGAAACCTCACCTAATAATAATTCAGTGCATTTTACTATTTCATTTATTTACGATAAGCAAGAGTGTCTTACTATGTAAACATCAAGGTTATGAATGATAAGTAAATTTGGTGAAGTGAGCAAGTAAAAAGAGCTATGTGATTTACTTTTAACGCATTACAGTGACATTAGAAACATAATTAATCAATTAAAAAATGACATACCTTTAATATATGCAAAGCAGAAGTAAGCGGACGAAACGCGGAAAGGGATGTACAGCACACCCAAAGAAACACTCACTTCACTTCCAAGTGATGTCAACAGAAATGAAAGCAACATATGTACTCTGCCTGCATTTTAAAGACACACTCAAAATGCAAGATTCAATACATGATGTAGTATGCAAATTTTATCCTCTGTCACACAACATAATACGCACAAATATGCATAACTGGAAGACGTGTTCACTACGCTCATAACCCAGCTTCTGCAAAAGCCATACAACATCAAACACCATCCACAATGCCGTATTATCACTGCTTTCTAGTTGTGTCTTTAAAAGAGCAAAGTAAAAAGTACTAGGTAACATTACTACTAATCCAACTAACTTAGTATAAGTGCTAGTTTTCTTCATTTTCTTAAACTAAATTATACATTTCCTCATTATCGCTACTGCTTCATAACTTACTACGTATTACGTAATTATAACTTATATATGAATAAAAATTTTCTAGCACCCAACCTAGTTTGTTTTAACTTTTTTTAAAAGTAAAACTGACAACAACATTAGCTTTAAATGTTTGTTATTTTTATTTTGAGCAAGTCTGCTGAGGAAAAAACGATGGATTGAGTAAAGAGCTTTTTAATTAATTAATTAAATTAAACCAAATGTCTTTTTTAATAACAGACTTTATAAAACTAAAAGTAATAACAACTTAATAGCACTAAAATACAGACGTGTGTGTATGAGGTACGTTAATTAACTATGTAATCACACAATCAAAAATAGACTATAATCGAATATGTCTATAAAAGAAGATGAAAATATAAATAAAAATATATAAGTTTAACAACACAATACTTCTCATCACGGTGAAACATTAACATTAAGCAAGAATAACTAATTAATAAGCAAAGTAATTATGCGCAATTCTTCATAGTCACTCTAATTGCTGCCAATTTACTAGCGCTCAATTTCGAAAAGGGCGGCAAGTGCACACGCATACTTACCTCCCTAGTTACTTTTCAGCACACTCAAAAATTCTCATTTCTAAACATATTTAGAAATAAAAAAATCAGTTAATTAAGTTACCACAAACATTTGCTAATTACCATACTGCATTAATTTTTGACAAAATTAGCCAGCGCAAATCAAAAAAAGCTTCAAGACCAATTAAAAATAAGAGCCCTCTATATCACTTTGATGTGGTCATTATGAAAATGTTAATTGCAATATCTCTTGTTACTGATTCCGTGAAATAAGTACAAGCAGCCATTCATTCGATTAATCAATCTGTCGGCGTAACGGTTTTGCATATTTATTTTCTGATTTTATTTTCATTGCTTCTATATTAAATTAATAATTACTTATTTTACAGGTGGTAGGTGAGTTTTATCAGTTTGAACTGACGCGTAGAGATGAGCTGTGCATCGCGCGTGTTATTTAACACATTCAACCAGGTGTATATTTGTGCTCACTTTATTATTTTTTATCTTGCATCTACGTGATTTATCAGATTGACTTTTGATTGTTACATTTTGTTTACAAAAGTATTTGAATTAATGCACATCATTACATTTCATACCAAATTCGTGGGTTATACCTCTGAGTCGTTTAATCTTTTAAAGCTTATGTAAATTACAAATCAATCGCAGCAAGTAGCTAAACAATTGATGTCATTTACTTTATGCCATAAGTATGATTGCAGGACTTTAGTTGCTTTGCATGTGGTCTGGATGATGGTTTTCGAATTTATGATGTTGATCCTTTGAAACAGAAATGTAGTGAAAAATTAAATGGTGGAATTGGAAAAATAGAAATGTTATTCCAGTGCAATTATATTGCTCTTGTAGGTGGTGGCAGAGTTCCAGCTTTCGCCACAAATAAAGGTTTTTTTTTTTCATATTCATTTTATAAATGTTTGGAAGTTCACATAGTAAAAAAAAGTGATGAAGCATAAACTGACGTGATCCTGAACTTATTTTCTAATTATTTTTAGTTATAATTTGGGACATTTTGCAACACAGAAAAGTGCTTGAATTGGAAATGAGTGATGATGTACTAGCAGTGCGCTTACGACGTGACCGTATCGTAGTAGTTCTCGATACTTTTATCCATATCTTTAGGTTTGTTTATTGATTTTTTTTATATTAACAGATAACCTATGTTGTTTAAATAAACAGATATTTCTCGACAATTTTTGGTTTAAAATACTTTGCTGCCCAATATTGTAGTTTAAAAAAGTAGTCTTCCTTGACAGTGATGACTTTGAACGCTTGATATGCCTTTTTTACATGGGTATATATCAAAAAATAAGTTTGTAAAATTTTTCGTTTTGTTTTAAGTTTTGAAGAATATACGAAGTTAAGTTTGCATGTAAGAAATTATTTTACTTTTTCCGAAGTTATGTCATTTCTTTGTAAGTATTTTTATAGTAATAATTCATTTATTCTCAGCAAAAATGATATGAAATATTTGTAATACTTCAGCAGTTTCGTTCGTTACAGTTTTACAGACCGACCGAAAAAATTGCAAGTTTTTGTTTCAAGTAGAAATCCACGTGGGATATGTTGCTTGTGCTCAGCCTCTGAAAATTCTATTCTTGCTTTTCCTGCTTCTTCATCTTCCTCTGCAGTTTGCTGTATAACTCTGTCTAACCCAGATGCTCCTCCACGAATAATGAATGCTCATCAAAGACCACTCTCAGCTATCGCGCTTAATGTTACTGGTAAAATATCATTTTAAATGATAGAATCATGATTTCTGCTAACAGATCTAATTTATTCCTAAATTAAGAAAGGCTGTAGAAAGTTAATTTATTGTTCTTCTATATTTCGTTACTATTTCATTTCAATATTTTACTTTTTATTAAACAACTTATACAATTATTATAGTACATTTCTTGAAAAGAGCCGCTCACATTTGTTGCTACTGATGGTAAATCGAATGACAAAATTTACCGCGTATATTTGATAAATGTTTTTTTATCCATTCAGTTTTCGTAACACTTTTAATAAGATAGCTGATAATGTTGTGAAAGTTTCGTATATTGCAGGTGAACAGTTAGCAACTTCTTCCGAGAAAGGTACTATAATAAGGATTTTCAATACTAGAACTTGTGATTTATTGAAGGAATTACGGCGTGGGACAAATCCAGCTTCTATATTTTGGTATTATTTTATTTAAATATTTAATTTTTTTCAACGATTTTGACAAATTATCTGCATAATTTTGTTTTCAGTATAAATTTCTCAGTGGATTCAACCATGTTATGTGTGTCAAGCAATCATAGTACTATTCATCTATTCTCTCTAGCTTTAAAAAAGAAGAAAATGTATGTCTCAGAAATGTTTTATAAAATTTTCGTTTTAGAAATTTAATTTTCACTTTAAAAAATTTTTAATATTCGTATATTTTGTCAATTTGGTTTTTAAGAAGTGGTATTCATTTAGTCCGTTAAAAAAGCTGACTTTTTTTGGTGAAGTGAGCGTGTCACGCTTTCAGTTGCCGTTCCCTTCTAAACATACTGACTTTTGCTTATGCAGTTTTGGTCCTCAGCCAAATTCTGTCATCGGTTGGTTTTTTGTTACTTTTCTACGAACAAGAAATAAGCATTTGAAATGATCAGAAGATTTAATTTTATTTATTTAAGTAATTGCTGTCCTACTAACAAACCTATGGTTCAGGTTGTTTCAAATGTAATAAAAAAAAGACTCCTGAAATGCATTTAATTCAAAATTCTATTTTCATGTTGGGCACAGTTCATCTTTTATGTGATCGTGTTTTCTCTTTTTAGTGGTGTCATCTGATGGTAGCTACTGCAAATTCAATTTTTATTCAGGACGTGGCGAATGTTCTCGACAAACCTGTTTATTGTATCTAGAGATGACTAATAATTATTAAGCAATGTATTATCAATTTTTGGATCTGGTCTTCTGTAAATAGAGTTGATTAGTATAACTTTCTAGAATCTCCGTGGCCTAAATATTTTATAGCAAAAATTTTTTTTAAGGAGTGATTTAGCAGAGGCGTTTCCAATAATTTTGCTCAACATACTAAACTATGTCTTTATTTAGCAATTTTAGTTTCATCTAAATTATTGTCTGTCTTTCACTATTAATTCATTGTACTCCCACCTTTTCTAGAACGAAGTGTCATATCTGCATTTCTGAAAATACTTTTCATGTGAAGAAACTTTAATGAATCATGTTTAAGTGCAGATCTTAATTCTTTGTTTAAATATTACTACACAGCTTCAGGAAAAAGCACACGAAGGTATATATTTAATATGAGTACTTTTTCGCTTTTACAAGCGTCTCAGACAATAACACGCATAGTGAGGAAGATGAGCAAGCAGTACTTAAAGTTACTAAAAACTTGATGATATTTTTGCTTACTAGATTTCGCTGCAGTTATCTTAGCTGGATTCATGCTAATTCGTTGCTGTAGCTGAATTTTTATTATTCTATTAATTGTCTTGAGGTAAAGTATTATAAAGTAGTCAACACCAACTTCAAGAGAAGTGGCGCAAACTGTGCCTAAGCTAAATTTCCCAGCATTTCTGGAAGGTGCCAAGTAGTCCTTGTCTGTGAAATACCATCCGGCCATAGACTAAAAATATCCATGATCATCTGAGATTGCTAACTTTTGAATAAGGTGGTATATATATCAATAAATTTTTGATATATGGTCATGGTTTTTTACAACTAAAAGCTCTTATTCAATTGTACTAGTAATGTAGAAAATAATGCGTGGGAGTAGTTTGTTTTTTTCTCGAAGTCAGGCATTACTTTTCGAAAGTTTCAAATTGATAATGTGTTAATGTGCTGAGGGGTAATGGAAAGTTTGATGCATAGCACAGTACATATGCTAAGTTAAGGTATGATGGTAGGAGCTGTATGTTAACATGGTACTGTATGGATGTAATAAGTAATAGTATTTTAATGTTTTTGTTATTGTAATTAGTTGTTATGCTTCGTGTTTATAATAAAGTGGAAAGTTGGCAGGTTTGCCACATTTTTGAAGGCAACAATTATTTGCAGGTTTTTTAAAGTGTCACTACTGCTAATTAATATTTATTACTTATTAAATAATTGACGAAAAAGAATGCAGCATTTTGTTGCTATTTTTGGAATTTTGCAAAATAAAAAGTAAAAAAACAAGTTTTTCATATTGATTTACGCTTTCCGTCACTTTTTTTGTTTACATTTTTGAATGTGTCTTTATGTAATTAACAGCATTACAACAAATTTAGTGATGAATATGAGTAAATTTTGTTCTACACTTTATTTTCAAAATATGTTGTCTTATTTAGATTTGATGATATTTTTGGAGTATTTTAGAGCTTTTTCTTTCTTGCTTTTTTTTACATAATAATGAATCTTATTTTTTTGATTATTTTTTTTTGTTATTTTTTATTTTTTCATTTATTTTGTACAACAATCTAGTATCAGTTTTCACGCAATTCATTATAATGCTCGCTCATTTGTTATTTTTTTTTTACTTATTTTTTTATTTAAATGAATTAAATATTTTCTTTTTCAGTTTAAACTAGTCTATTACTGAACGAAAAAGATCAATGAGTGAAGAAGCTAGCATGAACTAAACCAGTTAAAGAGAAAATTAGTGTAAATTTAAATGCTAATAATCAAAGAAGTATGCTGGCATTCATTATAGCTAACTATTTTTCATCTATAGTTTCATTCAGATTTAAATTATTGAAAATACAAACAAAAAAAGAATTGTTCATTTTAAGAATATTATTGCAAAGTAAATGTGAACAGCAGCAACAAAGCAACATGTGGATTAGCAATGCATTGTAAATTATGTGTTAAATAATATGCTATTGAGATTAAATCAATGCACAGTAAAAGTAATATAATTTAATTTGAATCAAATAACAGTAAAAATAGTATATTTCGTTTGAGTCAAAAAACAATAAAAATAATAATACGTCATTTTACAAAGATAAAAAAATGATCAAAATCACTTTCTTGTCAAAACTGTAATTAATGTATGGTATGCAAAGAGAGTAAAATTAATTAATCCGAAATTGTTTCATTCTTGCATTTTATTAATTTGTTAAAATTGTGCAAAAATATGTGATATTTTTCGTTTGCTTATTATACATCTTAACTGGTTCAATTTTTTTTAGTAGCATATTGATTAATTTTAAAATATTTTAAATATGTATGTTCATTGAACAATATCAAGTACTTGTTTTATTTCTGATAGATATGTACTAATGATCAGACCAGTTGACATAAATACAATTAATGGTAACATAGTGTAAAAATGGTTTAAAATATTATTTGTAATACAATTTTAGTCTATATATCTAAAATTATATCATTATTTTATTTCATGATCATTGGTCGCAAAAGTTTATCGATGAAAGTATATTGATTCTTTCACAATTTTTCTTTGCATTTTTACGATTATAAAAAAAATTTAACAAAAATTCAAAGATCGAAAATTAATATGTGCATACATAGTAAAAAATGATTAGAAGTGAGAGGAGGAGGAGGGAGGGGAGGAAAAAAAAAGAGGCGTAAAAATGTAAAATAAAATATAAATAATTAAACTAAATTTATTATTTATTTGAATGTAATATTGTTAGATAACTTGGTTATTCATTTTAGTATATACTAAATGATGATGTCATAATTTAAAAAATATATTTTTTATTTAAAATAATTTTAAAAATTTTTTACATTTTTTTTTTTTTACAAAAAGTGTAGCATTCAATTTGGTATTAACTCTCAAATATACTTTTACCCTCTAACCTTTATTGTCTTTTTTCTTTTTTTTTTATTCGTAGCAGTACTACACTACTAAACTGGGACATTTCGTTCTTTAGTAATTTGTCAATTTCTTTTTTGGACGAATACGGCAAATTGTTTGCATTACTGTGCTTCTGTCTCGTATACATCACAACCTATTTGCTGTTATCAGTATAAGTCACTATTCATTTGCTGTTATCAGTTTTTGCTAAAATTTTTTTCATTTTTTTTTATTTTTTTTTACCTAGTCAGTTTAGAATTTATTCTTTTCTGCACTGTTACATTTGTAACTAGTAAAGAAATTCGCTCGATAAGTTTGATAAACTTTGATAAAATTAATGAATGAGTAAAAAAAAATATTAACTTTGAAATTTTATACAGTTTTTAAATTTTAGATTTATTGATTTATGAATTTGATAAAATTTTAGAATTAAATTTTAGAAAATTAAACTAATCTAATCGAATTTAATCTGACTAACTGTCATGAAATGGTTATTTTGATAAAATTTTAGAATTAATAAGTGATGAGCATGTAGATATTTGACCATATTTTAAAATATTATCACCTGACATGCAAAAACAGTTATATGATTAAAATGACCAACTTATATGTCCTGTATAATAACTTGCATGTATGTATTCATTATTTCATTATTTCTATACTTTTTTTTCATTATTTTCCATTATCATTATTAAGATAGTTTGTTTTTGAAAAATTTAATATTAAATTTTATTATTGTGTGAGTTATAAAAACTTGTTTTTTATTTCAACGAAAAACTGGCTTTAATGTTATCTTTTCTAATTTTTTAATGATATAATCTTTTATATATCAAATTATTAATTCAAATCTTTTTCTTCATCTCAATTGTTATATTGCATTTATGTGAATGATATGCTTTTCACTAATGTACGAACGATATAAATAGATGCAAAAAAAGAAAATAATTCAATTTGCTTAAATTTTACTTCCAGGAACATCGCTTATCAATAGCTCCATTTCACACTGGCTTTCAAGCAGTGATTATTGTAGCAACCGCGTAAGCAAATAATATTATATCAATGCCACCAACTCTTCTTGACAGGTATTCTTTCAAGAATATAAAATTTTGCTAATATTTAATATTAAGTAAAGAACGATTTGGTGTTGACTGGTTGGTTATTTTTTCATTTATTTTTCCACAATTTTCTTGCTGAAAGCATAAAACTAAACATAAACAATTTCATCTGGAACGGTTGCAAATGATTGAAAAAAAGAGATATTTTGTATAGCATATAAAATATTTGTAAGTTAGTACTTGAATACTTTTTAAAGAATACTTTTGTTATAATGATTACATGACATTATTTTTTGCATTAAATTTGTTACTTTAAATTATAAGTAAGTTAATTTTATGCAAGTAGCATGGATGAATTGTTTAGCAAACTCTTTGTTTACGTGTTATACATGCTTATTTATTTTATTTAATAAGCTAAGGTTTGAAATTAATAATTAAATATGACTTGTAATTATGTTTGTATATTTGTTTGTAATTTAAACGCTGGATTAATGTTAGAAGATAGTGTTAAATTTATATGATGTTATTAATCATATAGTGATAAAAAGACATAAAATAGATAGTTTTAGCTGGTAATTATCACTAGCTCATAATGAGTAATATCATCCAAAGTTGCATTATAATAAGTATTTACAGTTTATTTTGCATCAATATGCAAATGTTTTTTTTGGCTATACATTGCATGTAACGAAAATTACACACCTAATTTATGCTAATATCTGTTACTAAAGTGAGATATTCTAACTTTCTCGTGTTAAATTAGCTAAAGCACTTAGTAAAAATGATGACAAGAAAAAAAGAAGACTGAGTGAGTGAGTGAGTGAGTGAGTGAATTTGATTGCCATTAAATGAATGAATCGCTATCGTAGCTTTCTGTATGTGTGCAAAATTAAATAAATCTATGCAGTACTGGTAGGAAAGCATTTTTTTAAAAATATACGTATGATAAGCGTAAGTGATATGATTTTAATTCAGTAGTGATATGGACAAGTATATTTATATAACTTTTTAGTCACGCCTATGAAAAAATAAATTTCTGTGTTGCTCTTATTGATAGTAATGAGAAAAAAAAGGCTGAAGTTTATTTAATTTTTATAGGTTAAAAATATGACACGTAAATGGATAAAATTTTTCTCACGTTTGAATATAATAAGTTCGTTTCATTACCTTTTCAAATTTGTTATTATCACTTCTATGTATATATATTGTCATAAATATTTGTCACTGCTAAGACGTGTGCATAAAATTGTTCAAATTTTTAACACAATTACTTTTTTTTTGTTCAAAAAATTGTGAGCAATAAAGTTAGAACAATGAGTTAATTCATGTTATTATTACTATTATTATTGTTAATTAATTATTATGCATTGAAATAGTAATGAAAATTATCTTGAGGTTATGTGTTGAAGAACAGTTTTTTGTTAGATAGTTTTAACTGACTATCCTGTGCAATACTTACTGCACATTCGTATAAAACGTTGCTACTTGCGTGATCATATCATTACACATTCAACTGTTGACTGTTTTCTGCACATTTATTCTATAAGAAAAGAAAACAAGCAATCATTTCTCTGTTTAGTTTGGTAATTTTATATTCTTTTACTGTCTTTTGCATAAGACAAAAATTTTGATTATTTAATAGGTCATTGTTTAAGTTGAAAATTTTTTTTCGCTCTTATTAATTTAATACTTTCAAACATAGATCGATCTACGGCATAGTTTTGATAGCTTTGATATGATTTCTATACAATTACCCAAGTGATCAGAATAGTAACTAATGTTAGTAATATGAAGAAATAGAAGATATAAATGCATGAAGAATGCTCGTTATTATATTCATCATGCATTTACATCTGCTATTAATTCATATTACTAACACTTGTTATTATTTTAATTATATCGATAATTAGTTTTAAATTTTTTCTAATTCTCTCATTATTTCTAGTTGTATTACTGAATTTATTGGCTTTTATGAATTTGTATTTACATAAAAATGGAACATTCATTATTTCATTTCATATTTAATCACTTATTTTATCAATACACAATACTGATACATATTAATAATTTTTTATTTGCAGCAAATAAATACAAATTAACAAACAATTAGCAATCAGTAATTCAAAGCTGTCATGGTTTGACATTTTCATCAATATAAACACAAAATTTTAAGTTGGTATGGGCAATATTCAACATGGTAGTACTATGATTTAATGATGCTTCTCAAGTAATTAATTTACTAATTAATTTATCGATTAACAATATAAGAAAAATTAATACTATAAATAATTTATTGAAAATTACGATAAAATGATGAAAAGAAAAAAAAAACGATTCTTGGACAATAAATGATGTTATAAAGATGGGAGCTGATCTTTGATATTGAAGCGCTTAAAAAGGTCATCGGTACATTCTCCAAATTACTACAGCGTACTTTTTAAATGTAGAAGGAAAATGGATGGATACCTGACGTTTCTTACACTCAGTAAATGATCTTGGCTGACCTTTTTCATTTCATGTGAATGAAATGTATTATTAAGCTAGCAGACAGTGCTATTATTTATATCGTAAAAATCGAAATGGCGTTTGATTTTTTGAAATATAAACTAAATTCAATCATATATCAATCTGCGCATGAAATTAAAACTAATAGCTAATATGGTAGTTTGAATTTTTTTGCAATCAGTGTTATTTATTTTTACAAAAAGGCATGAATTAATTATTTTTTGAAATAAAGCAAAAAATTTAAATACTCTAATATTGATATAAAATTATGCATGAAAGATTTACTTGCAAATTTATTACTTATATTTTGTAAGCAAATAATATTTGCATAAATTATGCTAGCATTTTGATACTGTCACAGTCATTAGCTTTGTAAACGATAAAGTGAACAAGTATTGAAGTTGTGTGAATGTTAGAGTTAAAATTATTAAAATTATTTCTGATCTTTGATTTTTCTTATCATTTAGAGAAAAAAAAGAGTGATTTTTTTTTAATCAAATTTTTGGTAAGATAACAAATTTGCGACACTCATTGAGATGACATATAAAAATGAAATATTTTCATTTTACCTGGTTTATACTTTCACTTACACAATTAATAATGATTTTCCATTTTGCCTTTTTTTCCATTATGACAAAAGCTAAGGAAAATACAATAAGTAGTAACGAATTAACTCATTTCAGATATTGCTTCAGATCCAGTTTAAGTAGTTCTATCCTACAGTATTTAACTATTAATTACAGTACAAGTCAGTATTACTGTTTGTAGCTCATCATATTTCATTATGCAGCTAATATTATTATAAAGAATCATCTTTAAGATGTTAAATTTTTTATAAGCTTGTAGTTTTTGAAAAATTATTACATTGAATTAATAATTTTCTAACAGTAGCTATGTATGTAATTCACTTTTTAATCTTTATATCAATACTATATTATAAAATTGATCTTAAATGAGCTATATTATATTTTTGCATTCTAATAAGTGAAGATTTAAGAAATAACGTCAAATGCGTACTATTTCAATTTCGAAAAAAAGTGAATTATATTTCAGTCAGTGTATATCTCCTCTTTTAAAAATGCAAGAAATTTGGTCTTAATTGATGGCGAGTAATATTGTTAAACGTACTCTATAATTTTTGACATTACTTTGACAAAATTCTATTTTTGTTCGACTGCTTATTTAATTTAATCATTAATCTGGATGACATTTACTTTGCATAGTTGTTGCTCATCTCATTTTTTAATACAATAAATTCATTTCATTCAGCTTGGAAAATTAAGTCATGTTAAAGATCATATATGTTTATCTCAAAAAACATTAATGGACCTGAAGTAGAGATATATTATTGTCAAATTGAATAATTTCTGTTATATATAGTATCAGTAAATTAGATCAGGTCACGGATAATAAATGTTCTGTGATATTGGTAGGTGAGAAAAGTTGTTATTAAATCTTTTCATCAAAATAGATCAATAATGTATCATTTGATATTTTTATTTTTGTAAATTGTTTCTGTGCAATAAATTAATCAAAAGTTTCGTTACTCAAAAAAATGTTGAGTATGACTGATTATTGTACTTCATTGCTGTAAATGTGAAATTCAGAAGCTGAAGCATACTGTAGTCACTTTTTAATATTTATTAAATGATTTTTTTGTTTCATAATTATTAAACTTTTAGAAAATTGTATAAATAAATATATGATATTACTAATAACAATAATAATAATAATAATAAGTAACGCGTACATAATGTACATTTTATGCATAGATTTGTGTGGACATACACGTTCATATACTCAGCTAAACATATGTAAATAGTAGTAAGTAGATTTATCAGGCTGGAACACCTTCCCTGATGTCCGCTCTCTTCTTCTACAGATGTCTTGTTCTTTTTCCTTTTCTTATGCATGTGTCATCACCGGTCATTTTGCATTCCTTCAAGAAGTTATGGGGTCGTCGCAACATTTTCGCATTTTATAACTGATATCCATGCGTTGTCAAATAATTGATAACTATCAGCTATCTCATCACTTTTCAATGATATTTAATGTTTACGTTTAATTTGACCTTCCTAATTTGACCTTTCCATTTGTAGTTTTCTATTTGTTTTTGTACTTAAGATTATATATTTATCATCTTATACAACCTTAAAATATTATTTGAAAGGAAAAAATTCTTCTATTATTTAAGTTCACATTATTATACCGGTATTTCGTTATTTTTTTATCGATGAATACTAATTAATTTAATAATTATCACCAGTAATTTTTTAAGGATGCCAACTCCACCTTTGCTCACACACAATAACCGTGAGTTTGTGGATTTTGAAAAATCAAATGAGGTGGACCAAAGAGCGGAAACATATGGAACAGTTGAGGCTTTTCTCAGCAAATACGCGGATCCGAAATTAGCGACGCCTATTAAAACTGTATATTTTTTGATTTATTAATTAGATATAAAAGCTTTCATTAAAGATTATATTTAGAGTAGTCATTTGTTATAGAAGTATAGCTTATACAGAAAAATTAATGAATTTGTTGGTGTTTCACATGCAAATAACTCTAAATAAAAGTACTGATGTAGTTTCAAATCGTTTATATAAAATCAAATTTGTTAACTTATTAAAGTAGTATTTGAACTAAATATAAGTTGCAGTTGTTGATCGCTAATAATGGAATGGCAGCATTCAAGTGTGTTATGTCCATCAGACGTTGGGCCCAAGAGACATTCAAAGATGATCGTCTCTTTAAATTTATTAACTTAACTACTGAACAAGAAATTTCCTCAAATCCAGGTTAAAATATTTCCAGAAAACTTTAGAATCTTTAGTAATACACAAAATGATTGAAAACATAAAAGAAGTAGATGATCATATGACAACGTTTGTCACCACTTGCGCCTAGGTTATATTTTTGCAAGCACTTCCTGCAGTAATTTCAGAATATTTGAAAATGATTGACAACTTTGTGTTCTCGGAATCGGGTGCAAACGAAAATAACTATGCAAATGTTGATGATATACTGAAACACGCTGTGAGTAACAATGTGGATGCAGTTTGGGCTGGTTGGGGACATGCATCAGAAAATCCTGATTTACCAAATGGTCTAAAAAAACATAATATTTTGTTCATGGGCCCCCCTGGGTCGGCAATGTTCACTTTGGGAGATAAAATTGCTTCAACAATACTTGCTCAGGTTAAGTATTGAAACTCTTATAATTTGAGACTTTTTTTTCTGGCCAGACGAGTTATATATTTTCTATACAAATTTATGTTTCGAATAACAATGCAAGATTCGTAGTTAATGATTATATTTAGTCAGCAGGTGTTCCTGTAGTTCCTTGGTCCGGTAATGATATATTTTTGCCCAAAGAAATGTGCGAAAAAAAAGGAACTGATATAGAAGTTACACCAGAAATGCGTACAGCAGCTTGTGTTTATGACCATGAAGAAGCTCTACGCGTCATGAATGTATTTTTATTTCTATATTATTCATATTAATTAATCCTCTTACGTATGATTAAATTTTTTGCATCCATATTTCAAAGTTTTTTCATCATATGTAGTTTGATTTTAAAGTACTTGTGGTTTGCAGGAAAAAAAAATTCCATATCCTGTTATGATCAAAGCTTCAGAAGGGGGTGGTGGCAAAGGGATTCGATTAGTGCGTAATGAATCTGATTTAGAAGTGAATTTTAGAAGAGTGCAAGTAAGTTTTGTGTAAAAGTTTGCAGAAATAATAGATATCTATAAAATGTCAAATAACAGAACATGATGCATATCTTCAAGCAGTTGGGTATCTAATAGTTTATTGTAAAAATTACTTCATTTTAGGCAGAAGTGGCAGGTGGGCATATTTTTCTGATGCATTGTTTGGAAGATGCTCGTCATATTGAAGTGCAACTTTTGGGTGATATGTATGGCGAGGTAATAGCTTTGAGGACACGAGATTGTACAGTTCAGAGGCGATGTCAAAAAATAATTGAAGAAGCTCCTGCAATTGCTGCACCTTTAGCTGTCCAAAGAAGTATGGAATCGGTTAGTTGTTTATTTTTGTAATTGCATTTCATCTCTTATTAAATATTACTGTAAAATATTATTTTTTATAGGATGCAGTTCGTTTAGCTAAAATGGTTGGATATGTTAGTGCAGGCACTGTGGAGTATTTATTTTTGCCAAAAACCAATGAATATTTTTTTTTGGAACTCAATCCGAGGTTGCAGGTATCATGCATACTTCCGTTTATGATACTGATCAATTTATTCACTTTTTTAGTATTTACTGAAAGTCATCTCTACTGAATATCTTATATCAAAAAATTTCATTGGACTTTCACTGTTTGAATAAGTGAAAAATATTTACGTGGTACCTTTTGAAAATTAGTTTGCAGTTGTTTGTTTGTATATATATTAGAAATATATCAAGCAAAAAATTTTTGTGTCATAGGATATTCAGTAAAGATGACTTCTAGTGAATATTGATAAAAACACTTAATGAATAGAGTTTTCAATATTGATGATTTGCTATCATTTTTTTACTAGTTAATTTTGACATTAAAAATCTTTCCATATCAGAAAAAGTAATTTTACTTTCAGGTTGAGCATCCACTGAGTGAGATGTTAACAAATGTGAATTTACCAGCTGCGCAATTACAAATTGCGATGGGAGTACCGTTACAATGTATTAGCGAAGTGCGTTTGTATTATGGTAAAAGTCGATATGGCACTGATAAAATTCCTTTTCATCTGGTAATCATTTTCGCAAAATCTCATTAAAGATTCTTGTAAAGAAACAGAAAAAAGCAACTAATTTGTTTCACGAACATTGTATTCAGATGAACATATAATCTAGTAGTTTAAAAAGGAATTTATTTGTTCATTTGTAATACTTTGAAATTTGAATATTTATCTGATGTTTGAATATTTATAAGCAAACTATGCTTGAAAAATAATTGATTTAATTTTTTGGAATTTTTTTCAAAAATTTTTTTTGAAGTTGTTAACAACTATCATGGTGGACAACTTTGTATAATTTTTGGGTATTTTAGATATATCCACATTGTGATAAACATGTTGTTTCTGTACGGATAACAAGCGAAGATCCTGAAGAAAATTTTCGACCAGCATCTGGTGAAATAACTAATTTAAACTTTCGTTCTACCCAGTTCGTTTGGGGATATTTTTCACATGTTGGCGCAGGATCCCTTCATGAATTTGCTGATTCACAGTTTGGTCATTTATTTGCTACAGGATCCACAAGGTTCAAAATTTTCAATAATTTTCACTTGTGACTTATTTTTACTAAAATACAATGCTTATTGCAAAGCAGTCATAGAATACAGAAAATTATTTTACTTTAGAATTTGAAATGCTATGACTTTCTAAATATCAATAACAACTTGTATTTTTTAAATAGATTGCTAAATTACAGGCATTTAGCCATTTCTAATATGTTGAATGCGCTTCAAGAACTGCAGCTTCAGTCAAAGTTTCCTGTAACATTACCCTATCTAATTTCTTTATTCAAAGACTGTGAATTCGAGCAAAATAAAATCGATACCACGTGGTTGGATCGTCGAATAGCCTCTAAGAAGCACACAGTATTTTTTAAATTGCTTTTCAATGTTTCTTATTCTTTGCAAAAAGATAGTACTAACAAGCATGTTAACAGGTAGAAATATTCTAAACAAAACATGGTGTTTGATTCATTTTCATACTGATAAGTTTCTTTTTGTTCTTAAATAATTGGAGAGTACTTTTTTTAATACTGAAATGAAGGCCATATTCAAAAGTTGTCTTTATAGGTTGAGCTTCCACCATTGCCAATGGCTGTTGCTTATGGTTCCATGTTGATAGCGCATTCAAAAATAACGGAAGCATTTAGTGCTTTCACTAACGCTTTAAGCAGAGGACGTATTTTGCAGCCCTCTGACCTTACTGAAACTCATCAAGTGGAGCTAGTTTTTAATAATATCAAATACAGGTTAGTTTTATTCCATCAATGTTGTTTTTTTGATCCATTTTATTCTCTTGTTTTGATTGACTGTCATTTTTTCGCAATTAGATCCATTTTATTTTTTGTGTTTCAGTGTAACCGCCACGCGTACTTCTAATTTTGAATATATGATTAAAATGAATGGTCGATGTGTTCCTGTCGAATATCGTGAATTGCGAAACGGTACATTGTTGTTGAAATACAAGGATAGATCACATCCGTGTTACATGGAAGAAGAAATTGAACGATACAAAATTCACATTGGACGAATGCAGGTAGCATTTTTGAAAATGTTGTCAAAAAAAGGAATTAGTTTTCTATTTCTTGTTGAACCAATTTTTGTTGCTTGATAAATTAATTCGGAGGCAATGAAGTTTGGACAAATTATTTTTGATTTTATCAGTGGAGGTCGAAATTTTCAGATAATATTTGAAAAGGAAAATGATCCAACTGTATTACGATCATCTTGTGCCGGCAAATTATTGTCATATGAAGTAGAAGATGGAGAGCTCCTTCTACCGGGTCAGATATATGCAAGTATGGAGAGCATGAAAGTTGTCCTCGACATGCGTGCAAAGAAGGCAATAATTTTGATCAGATTGAAAATTCAGTTTTACTTTTACTATAGAAAGATCTACCTAATCATTTTATTTGTAATTGATACCAGCCATATTTTAGCTAATATTTTTTGAAGCTTTATTTTATCTGGTTTTTTTATTTATATATTCGTTAACTGATGCAGTTTGTACTGTATTAGATACTGATCATATTTATGCTACTCCGTCAAAAAATCTCACTCTCAAATCGTAATGATCACTTTCTATCAAGAATTTTTGCTAGAGTCAGTGGTTTGATTCATTAAGAACAAAAAACTTTGACGAACTTTTATTGATTCACTTTGCTCTAGTCTTCGGAATGTACAAATTTTTTTCTGCGTTCTTGAAACTAACGTTTTTATCACTATACTGAAGAGATCTTTGTGGATGATAAGGATTAATAGTAGTAGTACATTCTGAAGAAATTTTCAATCTTAGGTTGGAGGACGTTTTAAGAAAATTGCGCAACCCGGGCAGATGCTGCATCCAGGAACATTAGTTGCTCGTTTAGAAGCACAAAATCGTTTAACAGTTACTAAACCTGTAGATTTCGAGGATTCATTTATTGAATGGACACAGAGTCTCACAAAAAAGTCACCTATAAATATGTATTTTACAAATATCGTTAATGTAAGTACCGATTTTTCATTAAAAATTATTAGCATTAACTGCTTTCGTTATGTAACGGTTTGAAGCGTAATTAGATGTATTTGAAACTTTTTTATCTTTACTTGATAGTGAGAAATTATATTATTGGAAAAAATTGAACCACTAGCTTACACTGATAGCCTTCATTACTATTAGTCTCACGTTATTTTCTGAGTGTAATTTTATTCATATTTCAGGAATTACATAATGTTTTTGATGGTTATTGTAAAACAGAGCCAACATTTTCAACTTATGCTGATAGTTTGGTAGATTCACTTTTTTCTGTGCTCGGTGATAAATGTCTACCTTATGAGCAGCTGCAGCAAAAACTCGCTGTTTTAAAGAATCGTATGAAACCAAAGATATTAAATCAGCTCAGTAAATTTCTTGAAGTTCAGGCAGAAAATTTTCCTGCGAAAGAAATTTGTAATGTCATTGAGGTACGACTTTGTTTGAATGATTTGTTAAGATAATAATAACTTTTAAGAATGTTACTCTGGATTATGCACTTCTGTTTTAAGAGCTTCTTGAAAAGCATGTGGTTTTCTACAAAGATTGATTTTTTTTCAGGATTATCTAGATGATTTAGATCCTCAAAAAGCTAAGGAGGAGAAAATGATATTCGAGCCAATAACAAGAGTTTTAGCAAGATTTGAAAATGGTTGCGAAGGTCATACAGCCTTAATTTTGGACGATGTCCTTGGTCATTATTACAAAAGTGAATTATTTTTTCAAGAAGATCAGTATGACAAATCTGTCACGAAGCTTTTATCGCAGGTGAACAATCCGTTACATAAGTTTTCATTCACTGTTTCTTTTTCGTAAAGGTATAATGAATACTTTGCAGATTAGTGATACGGAACGATGTGTTAGGCTGATTTGCTCTCATACAAAAGTTAATGAAAAGAATCTGTTGTCCATGAAGATTTTGCAGTACATTAGTAATAATCGCCGTTTGATATTACGGATATCTCCTGTATTAGAAAAAATTGCTAGTTTTGTCAAAAGTGAGAATTTGGAATTGGCACATGCTGCTAGAACATTGTTGATTGAAGCGGAAACACCGACATATTCAGAAATTAAAATTAGAGTATGAATTTGCTCTCATTGATTTTTTTAGCTTACTGTTTTTTTTATTGGTACTTGAATAAATGAATGAATGATAAAACGATAGTATGCTGCGCTTACATTTTTTTCAGGGTTCATCACCAAGTCCAACGAATCTTGAGAAATATGATATATTATATGAAATGTTTGAGAGTAATTTTGATTCAGTGTTGAAATACGTGACAGTATGTTGTGGAGTTCCAGAAACTTCTATCACACGATTAAATGATGGTCATTGCAATGACATACAATTTCCAATTCCAATACAGAAGATTGCGTAAGTTTCATTCTTTTTCATTTGATTAAGCCGTACAGATGCCAACTACGTTTTGAATGATTTCGTGAACTACTATTTTTTTGGAAACATACCTGATAGTACGGCTTAATCAAATGAAAAAGAATATTTCGACATTTCTTATATTTTATATATTTTCTGCACGATATATCGTTTTGTAGCCATGGACTTGGCTTACCGAATGACGAAGTGGTGGAAATCAGCGTTACAATGCGTGTTACGGGTGATGTAGCAGATATTGTTGAGCGATTGCCTCAAGTAGCTTCGAAGGTTCTGCAGCCAAATTCAACACTTTATATCGTTTCGCAAACTGATGCTGTACGGTCTGATGCAAATTTGGATAAAAAGTTTTCAGTAACTTTAAAGGTAAAATATGAGGTATTTTAGTCACTGTAGTCAGCATTTTCAACAATAAATAATGATTCCAAGCCATTGGTAATTTGCAGTTCACACAATTCCTAAAAATTTATGTACCTTTTGTTGTGATTTAATTTTTTCAGGAAGCTGTGAGCCGCGTTCAAAATGAAAATATTCGTCAAATTGTAGTTTTAATATCATCATCTGATTCATATCCAATGTTTTTTTATTACGACATGAGCAACAAAGAAGAAATTCGTTCGCAGCGTAATATTGACTTGGCTCATTTATCTAAACTCGGTTTACATCGTATCAAAGAAAATTATAACGTCAGTTTTTTTTGCGTACATTTATTGTATCAATATTTTCCAACTATTACGTGTAAGGATACTATAGTTAGAAAGACTGTGCTTGTCATTTATCTTTTTATCGTTTAATCTCAGTTTTTAATTGTCAATTTGTAAATTTAAGCAAAATAATTGAGGTTAAACTTGTTGATCTACTATTGCAGATTGACAAATTGAAGTCTTCTCATAATTCGGGTCATTTATATAAAGCAGAAAGTAAAGCGGATCCAACCGAACACCGATTTTTTTATCGTGCTGTGGTTCGAGTTGTTGACAATTATACATCAGAGTATGTTTCGTAAACGTTGCAGCATTTTGTTTGCAATTCAGAAAGCTTGTAGCTTATTTCAGATACTTTTGTAGCAAGCAATGTCACGATTAATAGTACTTTAATTTCCCGTAGTTAAATAACTGATATGCTTCTCAGAGCATCTGTTATTGTATCAGAATTTTGATATTTCTGTCTTGACTTGTTACCAGATATTTATAAAATCTTGTATATATGTATTCATCACGTTAAAATAGTGTTCTTGTTAAGATTTAATTCAACCGAAATGAGTCATTTCTTCAATTAATAGTATTTCGTTGATTTTTTTTAAATGTATATCATTTAGAGAGGTGACGTGTAGTGTCATCAAAGCTCTGAAGCGTGCTTGTTGCGAAATTGCAGTTGCTTTGTATCGTTCAAATACGATTGATCGAAATCACGTTTTATTGTTCATCCATCGTACCCCATCTAATAAAAAAATACGAATGAGCCGTGCTGATTGGATAAATGTCATTTATAAAGCTTATCGAGAATGTAAAGTGGGTTTTTAAATCAATTAGAATTTTCTTCGATGACGTCCATTGTACGTAAATTAATTGCTTTTTGTCATTGTTTTTTATATCATTCTTTTGCTTCAGCAGTATGCATCATGTTTGTCATTGCCAGGATTTTCTTTGGAGATCACGTGTAAATCAAGTGGAGTTTGATTTCATTTTGTTTGGCGAACGTAGAAGCTTCGAACAAGCAACAAAAGTAATTATAACGGATGATACTGGTTTCACGCCGTTTATTAGAGTGTTACGTGCTGAAGCAAGTAATGAAAATTCAAGAAAAAAGAAAGTTTGTTATTTTCAGTAATAATTTAGTATACTTCTGTTTATTATAATTTATAGAATCTCATGCTCATGTTTACAAAATCTAAACTGTAAAAAAAATTTATTTTATTTATTCTTATCATATTTGAGAAAAAATTTTTATTTTCGTAAGAGATTGATCGGAATCATGTTTTATTGTTTACCCATCTCATCTAAAAACTGCGAAAAAAATTTTAATATTTAAGCAAAATCAGTTCTGAATTTTAATATAGATCATGAAAACAATTGCAGTGGCTTCATGTAAATGCAGGAATGGATGGTTTCAAACATGGTCTTGAAATAATGGTTGATAGTCGGAGAAATACTGATTGGAATCCGTTCACTGATCCATATCTGGGTAGATCTGAAATCGATAAACGGCGTCTGAAAGCTCGTGTATTAAAAACTACCTACGTTTACGATTATCCGTTACTTTTCCAACGTGCAGTAATATCCACATGGCTAACACCTGAAGAGTTCGTTTTTTTATGAATTAATGTAGCTGATTGTTTCTACCTCACATTTTCATCTGAATTTCTCTCGAGAATTGTCTTTAATCTGTTGTAATTCTAGGTCACAAAAACCGCATAATTTGATGCTTGAGGAACTGTGTCAGTTTCATGAATTGGTTTACAACGAAGATTCTCAGCAGCTAGTCGAACTTGATGAAGCTGGTTCTTTAAGTAAAATTGGAATGGTTGCTTGGCGTGTACGACTGGTTGTACCTGAGTACCCTGAAGGACGAGAAGTTATCGTCATTGCAAATGATATATCCCATCAAATTGGTTCTTTTTCTATGCGTGAGCATCGGCTGTACTTTGAAGCTTCTAGGTTAAGTCGAAAGGAAGGAATACCGCGGATATATATTGCTGCTAATTCAGGTGCAAGGATTGGCTTATCGGCTGATGTCAGTTTATTTTTTTATTTTTTTCAGATAATAACTTCATATTACTGAAAACATTCAATGTTAAAAACTCAAATTATTCTACATTTATTTTAATATTCTCTTACTTGAAAACAAGAGTTTACAGCTGAAAAGACATTTCAAAGTGATTTGGAAAAATGAAAGTAATCCTGTAGAAGGTTTCGATGGACTATACTTGACTGATGAAGACATTTGTGAACTTCGTCAAATTGTCGTTACACATCGCAGGAATGGTTTCCATCAAATTGATGGAATTATTGGGAAAGAGGTAATTGTTGTTACCAAGTATGGTCTTTTTTCTTTGTAAATTTTTTTAATTTTTATTGGATTGACTTATTCTTCTTGCACTTTCAGCGTGATCTCGGAGTAGAAAATTTGGTTGGTTCTGGGATGATTGCTGGTGAGACATCGCGTGCGTATAATGAAGTAATAACTTACTGTTTGGTTACTGGACGTACTGTTGGAATCGGTGCATATGTTGCCCGGCTTTCAAGGAGAATTTGTCAAGTTGAAAATGCAGATATTATATTAACTGGTGCTCCAGCTTTGAACTCCGTACTCGGTCGAGAAGTATATACATCCAATGGTCAGTTGGGAGGTACGGAAATAATGACTCGCAATGGTGTCACACATTCAACTGTAAGCAATGACTATGAAGGAGTACGTCAACTGCTGAGGTGGCTTTCTTATACAAGGAAGAGTGTGGAGGTTATAGTTTTAATTCAAAATCTAATTATGTTATTACTCATAGCAGCAATCATATTTCACACTTTAACCTACTTAAAAGGGGTTCTGTTATATTATGCAAACATATTTAATTTATTAGATTCTTTAAGTGATATCAATCCTATGAAAGGCTCTTATTTTGTCTCTTTGATTTGCAGGCCCCGTTCAAAGAACCAGACTTCAGTTGCTGTGATGATCCTATTGATCGAAAGCTTAGTTTCATACCATCACAAAGCAAAGAAAATGATCCGCGTCTACTGATGACGATGTTTGATCACGATACTTTTGAAGAAGTTATTTTTTCTGGTATTTGTTGAGAATGACTCTTTTCACTATTTTAGTTAAATATGTTTAAAACTAAATTAACTTAGCTGTGATGAGTGTTCAAGCTCTCTTCATGATACTCAATTTTCTTAGTAAAATTTGCTGAAAACTTAACTGTAAAGTTGTTGTATTTTGAACACGAAAAAGTATCATTTTCTTTTCTAGATTAAACCAAGTTGGGGAAAAACAGTAATTACTGGTCGAGCACGATTAGGTGGTATCAATGTTGGCGTGATTGCCGTTGAAACTAGAAGTGTTTTTGCAGAAATTCCAGCAGATCCAGCGGCTCCAGATTCACAAGTAAAAAGTATCCAGCAAGCAGGTCAAGTATGGTATCCTGATTCTGCTTATAAGGTGACTCTGTCAGACTATTATTGTTGTTGCATGGTAATCAGTACCATAATATAGACTTTGCAAATTATTTATCGTTATTGATGTATATAAGTACTATGAAAGCAATATTTTTTAATGATTGAATCAGTTATTAAAAAACATTTTTATAATACTTATATACAACAGTATCATAAAATGTGGAATTGCAGACTGCTGAAGCGATTGAAGATTTCAATAAGGAATCTTTACCTTTATTTATTTTGGCGAATTGGCGTGGCTTTAGTGGTGGTCAGAAAGGTTTGTTAATGTTATTTGAAAATTTTGTAAAGATATATTTAGTGTGAATATATATATATATATTAGTAGGTTATTCTGGTAAAGTAGCAAGTTTACAATTTCGTAACAGTTATAAACTAATACGATGCTAAAATTTTATGCATTTATTCTGAAGAGTCACCTTTAATAATGTGTGCATTATAGATATGTTTGAAATGGTCCTCAAATTTGGTGCCTATATAGTTGATCAGTTATGTAAATATCTAAATCCCGTTATTGTCTACATTCCGCCGTACGGAGAATTGCGTGGTGGAGCCTGGGCAGTAATTGATACTACCATAAATCCTGTTTGTATGCAGATGTTTGCTGACCCAAGATCGCGTGGAGGCATTCTCGAACCCGAAGGAGTTGTTCAAGTCAAGATGCGTAAGGTCAGTACTGTTAATTTGTACCTCTAATTTTTGGTTGGGTTTACGAATCATTCAAAAATTTGATAATGTGAACTGTTTTTTATTAGTGCTCATATCAAATTTTACCTCATATTTATTGCATTACTGGTGTTGTAGGTATCTATTCTTAACCTGAGTTATAATTTAGCTTTTTTCCCATCAAAATAGAAACAACTTAGAATTGATATTAAGTATGCTTTAAACGCAGAGTATTGTGTTGAAATGCACAATACTGCTCATTTTCTTCTGAACCAGCGTTTCAATTACAGTTAGTAGTCTTTTCATTAATCTCTAAAAAACTTAAAGGATCTCGTACCATTGATGCAACGACTGGACCCAGAAATGGTTCGGTTGAAAATGCTAGAAAAAGATGGACATGATGTGAAAGTTGAAATGAATGCTCGTATCGAATTATTAATGCCAACCTATCGTAATATAGCTTTTACATTTGTTGATTTACACGATACAACAGCACGTATGAAAGCTGTCGGTGCAATTAAGGTGGTCTTTCATTTGGAAAATAATTACGATGTTCTACTGAATGACAGCTTAGAATACTTGATTAGATATAATTAATTGCCATACCGTTTCATTTAAACGTGGAAATATCATTTATGTAATGACATTTTTGCTTGACATTTACTTCCCTATTTTCTATTTTTAGGAAGTAGTGAAATGGGAAGAATCGCGAGGTTTTTTCGCTCGTCGTCTTTCAAGATTGTGCATCGAACAAGATATTTATAAAGAAGTAATAATGATGATTCAAAAAATAGAAAAAAATAAAAAATTTCAAGAAAAATTTTAAATACATTAATATTTTAGACTGGCAGTGTAAAGAGTTTGGAAGATCTTGGAAAGATGCAAAGATCTTTACTACGGTATTTTAAAAAAACGCGTGGCGAAACGTTTTTGTGGGATAGTTATCCAGATGAAGACGCCATAAGAGTTCTGAAGCAAGAAAGGAAGCAAATTTTGCAATTTTTAGTGGGGAATGATTTCTTCAGAATTGGAGAACGCTATGGAATGTAAGTTTTTTTTGATTCTTTTCTTTTTTCACAAAAATTGGCAATAAAATATTTCAAGGAAATTCAAATTGTTGCAAATAAGAAACTTGAAAGAACTTGAGTTTTTTAAAGTTTATTATCCAACTGATTAATTTGGACTTATTTGTAGACCTCCTGAAAAGCTGGAAGATTTCGCGAAAGAATGCGATTCACTAATGCGGGAAAGAAAAATGGCCGATTGTGATCGTTTATGAATTAGTTCTTAATTTTATACCTTTTCAAGCAGATAACGCATCACAAATGATCTTTTTAGTTGCGAATTCCATCATGTTCGAAAGTGGGTGCACAAGTTAGATAGCTACTATTAATAAATAAAAAGGCTTATTTTAGTTGTTGATTACTATTTTTTTTTATTACATTATAGTAATAATATTATCAAAGCCAAAACATAGTCACTCTAAAATATAGTCAGTAATTACGATGTGAAAGAAAGCAAGCATCTTCTTGTCAATGCTAAAAATGCGTGCGTATAGGAATGATAAATAACTAGAAAAATATTTGAGCAATCTGTCTCCATGTGACGGTTTATTTAATCTTAGAATCATCTTTCTTTGTTTTCCGTTCGAAAATGCAAGAAAAGTATCTTACTTCTGATAACAGGTTTATTATGATTCTGTTTCGAATTGTTGAAAATTTTTTGCATAGGGAACACTTGATAGCTACTGCATCAGTTGTTATTCGCATACTTTGTTATCACTTTTGTTGAAGAAGTCTCGTTTACCGAATGAACGAGACCAATCAGTTCATCTTTTCATTGTCTCCCAAAGGTTACATGTATACATTTCTTTTTAACTAAAAATTTCAATTATATCTAACTTAAAATGTCCTGCCAATCATTGCCTTAAAAGAGAAATAAAAGACTAACGTGATTGTAGTTCATGTGAACTACTCATATGAGAATGCTAAACACAGATGAGGGTCACAAAGGTTGAAATTAATGTACTTTATATGTTATAAAGTATTAAGCATATTAATTTCAAACTTGACAAAAATGTGAGATGACGATTTTTGTTTTAAATGGGTTGCAGCTAAGGGTCGTCGATATGATCCGAATATGAGTAAGAAGATATGCACTGGATTGCTCAAACTCTATTGTAAAAGACATCAAAAGTGGTCTCATCTATATATGAGTAGATGGAAGGGGATCAGTTCAGCAGTCAAAAACATAAGAATGATAGGAATGGTAGCAGTATTACTGTAAACTGATCAACAAATCAAATCGGTGGTTATTTAATTGCTGAGATCATGTTTGTGAAGAATTATCTAATTCACATGCGATATGAAAAGTCTGAAAAGAAATGGAGAAAGAAGGGGAAAAAAATCGTAAAATGAAAAACAATGGGAAAGCAGATGAGATTGTAGAGGAAACCTTCACGAAGGATATGAGGAAGCTCTCACATAAGTGTACTGCAGTTAAAAAATGCCAGCAAAAAAATAACGCATAGAACAATCATCAGTGGATTAGAGGTTGTATGGAGTAGGTGGCCAGGTGAAGAGCTGAAAGTGAGAGCTGTTCTTGACCGTTAAGATGGATGCCGAGAGCGGAATAGCCCATCTGTCGTTTCGTGTATTATGAGTATTTTCTATGTACGAATAGCTCCCCAAGAAAGAAATGAATTCTGTGACCTCAACTAATACAAGTCGTCCATACTTGCAAGAGCGATTCTTGGATGGTTCAGCGAAGCGTGACAAAATACGTGGTACTTATTTTGAGGAAGGTACGCTGCGTGTCCAAGACTAGATGTAAAGCAGAAGTGCCTCGTACTTATTGCGAGAGGCTCAGCAACGCGGAGACTAATCAAACAAAACTGACACGCAAAGAAACTTAGGGAAGCACTGACTGCAGCTAAAACCAAGAAAAAGGTTGATAGCAGTCGAAGCCGAGAAACCGAGAGAAAGTATGTTCTAATGGCTAATAAAATCGGGACAGAGACGAAATGAAGGATAAATTTTGGAAGCAATTCGATCACCACTGTGTATACGATGATGTTGAAGTAATGGAAATCAGCCCAGTAAGTCTACGCGCAGCGGAAATTATAGGGTTAACGCCAGGGCACAATCAGCTATAGTTCCGTAAGTATGAGAAAAAATTAATCTCTGTGTGATAGTTTTATTTTTTAGTGTAGTAATGAACTGTTTTAAACGAAATTAAGTATTGCTGTGTGAGTAGATATTGTTAACAATTACTAATAAGCCTTTAACAGCTTACATGTTTGCTTCGGTTATTTTAAGTACAAATAGCACTTTGATAATTATACTAAGTAGTTTATCCTTTACTGTAATTAAGTATAAAAAATTAGTTTCTTTGTAACCATTAATAATTTATATAAGTCTATTGTTTAAAATTAAGAATAACGTTCAGAATTAATTATCAGATTTGCAAAGTTTTTTAAAATCTGCCCATATGTCATACAAATGATTTTCTTTATTCCTAATTTGCTATGGATTTCATATATTGAAGAAAACAGACAAATGAGAAATACTTCTGAGCAGAATCAGACAGAAAAATCCATCCGTCAATGATATACATCATTTATCAAGAACTGATAAAAAATGAATTATAAAATGTAAAACATTATAAAAAGTAGTACCCATCTGCGATTTTGCATTTCTATCAGTCGTAAAATAGTTCCTTGGAAACACAATCAAAAAATCGAAAAGAATGGATTCTAAGGAGAAATTAATGCTTGAGAAGTGTGCATCTATACATAAGAATTATTTCCTGACACGTGCAACCCTTCTACTTTTCTCACAAGTCCGTAAACAAGAGCACCCACTGCACGAACGTGTATACGAACGTGCACATCTTAACTGGTTATTTTTTATTAAAAGCGTGTATTTCATTGAATAATTAAGTAATTTGCCCAGTATTCTCTACTGTTTTCAAAATTTGTACTTACCTTACCTTACATATCAGAGAACAAATTTACTCACTCCATTACTGCGTGTCTCTTGATAAGTGTTACTTTTTTATTATCAAACGTACATATAAGTATTACATGATTACAAACTTGCCGTACACTTATTACACTTATTACTGCAATTTTTCAAATCATATCATCACAACTCCAGTTAACTGTAGATAACAAACATTTTTGCTTAACCTTTAAAATTTCTACATATGTCTTGAAGGTTAAATTTTTCTACCAACTTTATTTCCTGAGAAATATTCAGCGAATACTTAAATAACAAACTAATCACCTGTTTGTCCAGCATTCCACTGTCAATTCATCTTACTTCAGTGACAATGGAGTATGAAATTTTCATAAAAGAGCTGCTTTAAATAATTGTTTATTGAAGAGAATAGCAATAATACCGTAGTTTTGCTGTGGCATAATGCCGATCAGCTAATGTCGTCATGCAGTATTGTTTTGGTGTCAAGTGGTTTTTGTAGTGGTGGTATGCTTGCGGTTGGTTGGTAGTACTTACGTAGTGTCCTGTCAAGTAACTATGAATGTCAGAGCTTTTCACCTTATTAGAATCTTATCTGTCATATTATTCAGGTGGAAAGTAAATGGTGTCTGGACGTGGTGATGGTCAACACACATCACGACGTTCCACGCTACCGCTGTTGACGTCTTACGATAAATCTCGTAAACCTCATGTCTTACGTACAGGAATAAATACGGGGACGATTCACTTCGATTGGATTAGTAAGGAATTAGAATGTGGTATATGTGAGAAGACAATCCAGAATACGATGGTTGTGAGAGTAAGAAATAATGCTCTTTACATAATTACATCCATTCACGAATAATATGCATTATGTACCAATAATTAACAAAAAATAAAAATATAAAGTCAGATGTTATAAAATATTATCTTAGTACTTCATGCATTTGTTTCATTAACAGTTACGAGTTTTGCTTGAGCGTAAATTTTATTTCCTTGTTGCTAGTTGTAAACTGTTTGGTATTTTATTCTTGAATATAATAATTTTATTTCAGAATTGTATGCATCGTTTTTGTGCTGACTGCATATTGCAACGGATACATACCGGTACACGGAAATGTCCTTTGTGTCACAAACTTCTTCCGAAGAAAACACCATTAAAGAGTGACACAAATTTTGATGCTATTATAAAAAAGGTAGTCTTCGGTTCCTATTTTCATTTAATAATACTTTCACCAACCGCTTGTTGTGTCCAAACATCCGTGTGTTCTGTTTTTGCGGTGAGTTGGATGTTGAGCGGTGAAATAAAGATTGTAAATAATAGGTCGGATGTTTCAAAATCATATGACTTCAGTTCTCATTGTCTGCGGAAAGAAGATGTGTGAAACGCCCAATCACTGAATCAGGCACTTTATGTAAGTTTTCATAGTATTTCAAAAAGAAGTTTTTTTTTTTTGTTTTTTTGAAAACAAAAACACTGCTGTATCACTTATTTCAATATGAATTTGAATGAAATACGAGTTTCTGACGTAGAGAGGTTTGGGAGTGTTAATCTATGTCGTTGAATCATCATGAACATCTGGAATAAATACAAATCTTAAAGTAAAATTAATCTTTTAACTTTTTTTTAGACTTCAAAAATAAAGCAGTGTACGATAACAAGTCATCCAATAAACGTGTAGCGAATACTACTTTAATTACACCGTCACCTTTCGGTGAGCAGACTTCATCAAAAAGAGTTCAAATACCGATGAAGGTCTTCAATATTTTCAAATTTCCATTCTGTTCTTATTCCTAACTTTTTCGAGAGGTGATCAGAAGTGCTGATAAGAATGGCTTTGTTCATGTAATATATTTTTATTTAATAAATATTAGAGATAGCAAGAACAAAACTGAAATGTATCTAGATCCATATGCAGTTATTCCCAATGTTATCAGTACTTATAAAACGAGGTGGCTTTTCGAGATTCATTTTTACGTCAGTGGTATCATTTTTGGGTTTTTCAGTATATTCCAGTGATGAGTTCAAATGTTAATGCTACTTTGGAGGCAAAACAACCATTATTACCCAGTACGCATTCAGATACATCAGACCCTCCGCTCACGATTGATGAAGGCTTGTCCGATGGTGATTCCATTTAATTTTTAGTGTTTATTTTAGCATTTATTTCATTTCTTTGTTTCCTTCCCAGCAGTTTTTGTTCTGCTTGCTAATTTGGTTATTTTTTCTACGAAGTTAGTAAAGTATTACAATTTATACCAACTAGTAGATTTACTTGAATTTCTTAATGTTCTTTTAACGAAAATCCACCACTTAAAAATAATCTTTTGATTAAATTAGATTTATTGTAGATTCCTATCCAAACCTTCAACAGCCAACAACATCGTCATTTTCAAGAGACGAATCGAAATTAAATGTTACTGATCAGAAGACTAATGAAGCATGCCTTTTTGATCTTGTTTTGGGTTTTTTTTTTTTAAATTGTATTTTCATAGTGTACTTGCAATAATTCAAAAAGAATATGTGAAAAATGTAACTATGAAAGTGCTTAGCTATGTTTTTTAGGGCAATGTATCCATAGCAGGTAGCTGCGAAGTAACTCCAGTTGTTTGGCAGAAGTCTTGCAATTACGGTAAATTCTTCGCATAATTAATTGGAGATTAATGTTCTGTGGTATTCAAATGTTAGTATTCAACTATATCAGTTCGTTTTGAAGCTACTGATTTCAGAGAAATTTAATGGTATGGTCATCAAGAGCCCACAGTTTAATGGCAGTAATGTGCACGTTAAGTGCTTTCCTGTGTCTGCTAATCTTGGTATCTCTCCACATCTGGCAAATCAAGTAAATTTGATTGTAAGATTAGAGATTAATATTCAGTTTTGCTCTTTGCTTCATTATTTTGGTTTGTTTGATAAAAATGGAAACTGTTCTTTGACTTGTTTTTAGGCCCCCATTACCAGGGCTACGAATGGCTGTTTTATTCACCTTAACGGGAATGGTAAGTTCTTCTGAGGATGGTGGTTATTGTGATGAATTATATTCTCAGTAATAAATATTTCTGACTCATTTGCCATGTTACCTTCTAAAAGATAACATGATTTTTTTAATGTCGTGTCAGTATCTTTGAAGCTTATTAATGATAATATTAATTAATTTTTTTATTACCTTTTGTCTGTCAAATAAAGGCATTATGAGCTTCACAAGTATACAGATTTTTTCCTTTATGGTTGCAAAATAAATCACTGTATGACAGTATGCAAAGTTTTTGTTAAAATACCCATTTGTGTTTTTTAAAATTCATTTGCAGCAAAAAGAACCAACAACACCAAAATTGGGGACGGATTGCATCTGCCACCATCCTTAGAAAATAGCATTTCGATGGAAGATAAGGTGGTAGCTTCACCTCGTACTTCAGAATTCTTGTTGATTACTGGGAAACAAAGATTATATCCTGGGATTGAATCACAGCTGGTTCTTAATCCTGATGCAAGTGTGGTTACTGACGACTCTTTACCTACTGCTGCTAAACATCTTCGGTATATTGTAACGTGTTCAGCAACAACAGGTACCTGTTGTTCATTACGGTCATTGTTACTTTATCAGTGTCTCTGAGTTTGGAGAGCAATAGAAGACGTAGTTGAGCAGCATATTGACCATTTATTTTTTTCGAACTTCATTTTATCAAATGTATATCACATTAAAACACCGTAGTTTTGTATATTAGTTTTCATGGTTTTTTCACTGAACCAAGTTTCGAATATAAAGTTTATGATTTGTCAGTGTTCTTCATTTCATTTATCAGTTATATGTATGACTTTTCAGTGGGACATTTATGTGAATACATCTTGCAACGAATTAGAATTGAGTCGTTTGACGAAAAGGACAGAAAACCAAGCGAAGATTTTTTCACTAGGGTAAATCTCTAGGCTCTCTCTTGTTCTATATATATATTTCTTCCGATCTTATATTCCAAAACCTCTTGGGTATGTGTTATTATGAAATTGATTGTATTCTTATTTGTTATCGATATCAAGCTCTTTGATTGATCAATACAAAATCGGAGCTTTTACCTAGGAGTGAACTTCATTAATTGTGTGCCGTAAAGTATTGAAGTCGATAGTTTAAATAGATTACGCTCAATTCAGAAAACTTGTTCACAATATAAAGAATGAACTTCGCACTTATTTAACTAGGAGCAAAAGTCTTAATCTCTGAAGACTCTGATTTGTCACAATTGATCTTTCTATGCTTTATTTTTTATAGCGTGTGCTTCTATGTCCAGTAAAATCCGATTTGGCTTTGGATGATGTTTTGGTAGTGAATGAAACAGGTGAGGGTCAATTCACAACTATGAATGTCGGTGAACGAAATAGTGACTCAAGGTCAACTTCTGTGTTCACCATAAATTCACCCTTTGTTGGTATGTGATTTTTTTGTTTAGCGTGTATCACTTTCTTTTCACTGTCACATTTTTTGGTTCTTGTGCTGTTTGGAAAATCTGAAACAAATAATTCTTTGCAGATGTAGCTAAATGTGATCCTTGTCAATTCAAAGTGTATATGTAATGTATATTCACATTAAATTTGTAGTTTTGCATTCACTGGACTTTTTCCAGCTTTGGATGAGTCAGTAACAGTTGAACAATTAAAGGCGGAGCATTGGTCGAATAAGAAGAAGCCACTGAAACTTATTTTCAAATTTCAAAGGAAGTCCTAACATGCCAGTATAATCTCAGCAGTTTTTCCAGATATTTGATGCAAGCGTGTGCTGGAATTGTAAATAGAAATAGCGCAGTTGTTGAGTTGTTAAACTTTTCATTTGTCTAATTTCACAAACTGCTTAAATTCAATACTTGTTAGCAAATTCATAGACCGATTTGGAAACTGGATTCAGAAAAATTCGTGGAATTCTTAGAATGAGGCATTGCATGGTTGGGCAGAATTATTTTCCGTTTCCTATTCGTAGATTTTGGTCATGTAATTTTGGAGATATCCAAATTTTGATCGAGGTATGCGTGGAAAATACTGTTTGTTAACTTTTTTTCCGGTCTAATTTCGCTCAATCAGTTACAGGGTAGCTTTGAAGCACTCATTTGAATTATTGCATTCATGTCTTTGCGTCCAGAATACGCAATGTATACTTTGTCTGTGATATTTTATATAATCATCTGTGATACTTTACACCATCTTAGTGATGGAAGCATGATGCACATTTCAATGTCAGGATTTTGATATTCACGTTTTCGAAATACGGTTCCATTATTTATTTTACATCCAGTAGACGTATTTTTGTATTCGTAGAATGGACGTGGTGCATGTAGATAAAGATGGTCTTCCCAAATGATTATACTATTGCTGGTTGGCACTATTTTGCATGTCAGAAATATTTGGGCTCTTTAACGCAGCAGTTGAATATTTCCACTAGCTTTAAATATTACATTTGTGATTTACATCAGGTCGTAACTCGTTGACATTGTGTACATAGGATATACGTGACAATTCACTTTGTTAAGCTATATCTTTCCATATCTTGGGGCTGGGGTTTTTGTTCTGCATTGAAAAACAATTCATGGAGGGAATAAATTTACAGACATCGGCGTCGCGGTAAGCGGTTTGAGTCGGATGTCGCGTTGTTACATTTTGAATCTCTCGGCGTAATCCCAAAGTCTTGCGATATGGTCTGAATTGCAACTGCGCAATTTGAATAACTTATGGGTTTGTCAGCATTAGGCATACAAAAAACAAGCTTAATTCTCCCACGAAGACATTATGTCCATCCTTGCTCAGATGCCACTGTACAGACAATTTCTAGTTGGATTTGCGTACTACATAGGCGTAGTCCCTTTTTGACTTAGTATAAATTAAACCCCCTTTTTTGCATTGCATAAGAAGACGGCACCACTTCAGGTCAGAGACAAATCCTAATAGCGGGACAAACAAGCCTCACCACATGGGGCCACAATTCCGAGGACTAAGTGTTAGCTTACCCACCGCACATCAACACAACAATGCTTTGTGCCGTGGAAGAAAGTACGCGATAAATATGGATATAAATATTATATTTCAGTATGAAAAATGGCTTAAACAGATTACAATACGACAGCAACTCCAAGAATAAACAGCACGAAAATCTACTACGATTCATAATCAACGCCATGTCACATATAAAACGTCCAAACGAACTCACAGATCTTTACAATCACAATTTGCCGGCAAATACTTTGAAAGACTGCTCAATAAAACTCTACACTTTAATTTAACCAACCAAAACTGAACTTGTGGATTTTCATCCTAGAAATAGAATAAAACTGAGAATCTGCAATCACAAAAACTCAACTCTATTTCAGAAACGTGCTGTGAATAGTAGTAGATTGCGATCAGAAATTACGAAATTTTCCTGAAAAAATTAGAAAGGACAAACAACAGATTTATTATAATGTGTGAATCTACGAGTTTCGATAATCACCAAACTCAACCAACATGCAGAATATTTCCGACAGAACCTTGTGTCTACTCCTTCAACACCTTGAACAATATTTTAAGACAATGATTCCCATCAAATAGTAAGTGATGAGGGCGAATGTACAACTTCAGAACAAAATTAAGCACGCTCTCCACGGATTCGACGAGCAAGCTGAATGTCCTTTGGCATGATAGTAACACGTTTAGCATGAATAGCGCACAGATTCGTGTCTTCAAAAAGGCCCACCAAATATGCCTCACTAGCTTCCTAAAAATCAAAATTTGAAACTTCAACTCCTGCCGAAAGTTTTGTTTGGACAAGGACATACAAATCTCTTTCTCTACATATAAAGAGAGAGCATGTTATATATATATATATATATAGAGAGAGAGAGCATGTTTTATATATATATATATATATATATATA